GGATCTGTTGACATTATCACAAAACACAAATAAAGATCACTTGGAGGACTCACGATGTTTTCTTTGCTTGTTTTCATTAGCAAACCTCAGTGTCTTTATTCACCGCCGTATCACAATTTTACGCGATTTGAGTTTCTTTCGGAACTGAGTATTTGCACAATTTCTTATACATTACGTATCATTTCCTCCATTTGTTTCCATCAACACATGGTTCCCATTGTAATTAATATCAAACTTAATATTTAGATTTATTTCAAAGAATGCTTCTTTTTGTGAAGGTAAATGTAATGTCATGCACATTGTAATTATCAAGCTATCAATTGTCTGCTCCAGACTCGTTTATCTACAGACCGCCGTCATATAGCTGGGATATTGCTGTGTGCGACGTAAAACTAAACTCACTCACTCAAGCTATCACGTTGTTAGTCTGACTGACTGAGTTTGGTTTTACGCCGCCTTTAGCAATATCCCAGCAACATCACGGCGGGGGACACCACGTTGTTAGTACTGATGTAGATCATTGCAAATTTATCAGAGAAAACATATGATTTAGACCCTCCTGTTCGATGATTACTCGATGAGAACTCACTATATGTTATGTGTGTGTGTGTGTGTGTGTGTGAGAGTGTGTGTGTGTGTGTTTGTGTGTCGAAGATGAATTTCTCTACAACTCGGGGGAACCAACTGCAAACCTTATGCAGATGATGTTGCAAGAGGATGACGCATCACATTTCTGAAAAACATGTGCAAATATCGTGCATGTGAACAGCTGCGTTTTGGTGTTGAGTTTTGTTAAGAATTCGCCAATTTTCAACGAGTTTCACCATTTATTACGAATTTGTTTTACAATACACCAGTTCATGTGTAAACAGTACCTTTAAAAAGTATGGACTATTTTGCAAAATCTAGTTAGAACAGTTGACTGAAGTAAGTGGGTACATTTACACTAGTGATTCTAAACTTTTGATGGGTAGTATATGTAGACTTTCTCCTTCAGTTTTCTTGCAAGACCGTACCTTTTACGTACGCTTCAGTGACAACGCTTGTGTCGGTGAATGAGAGTGGAGGTTCGCCGCTTGTAAGCTTCTGACAGAAACATCACGCCAGGATACACAAACAGTGCGGTTTAACATTGCATCGATGTGTGGAATCGAACACGGACCTCCGTGGACGAGCGAACAATATAATCACGAGTGGTAGGGAGTGTGAGCGAGAGGTCAGTCTCAACACCCTGGGGAGTATACAACTCTAGCAGCCACCACGCGCACTAAGTTATTGCGGCTTTTCCACCCTTAAGAGGCACCCGTTCACAGCTGGGTGGACTGGGGCACATAGTCACAGTACTTTGTCCAGGTTTACTGCACGTTGCTGTACCCGCAACAAGGTGTTTGCACGTATTCATGTAGCCACCATCTGGTCATTTACCAACGGATTCTTGAGTTCTTTTAAGTACTTTGTACATAATTTTTACGTGTAGATTTCCTGACTGTACTTTCAATCAGTCACGATCTTCGTATGGTGGATTACATATTTTACGAGCGCTTCAAACAGTCTACTCCAACACGGTGACTGGGGTTCTCGATGTTGACATTCAACATGATTACAGCTTCATCACCGAAACCTGTGGTGACACAGTCGTACGGTTGTATCGTAGGAACCTTATTTTCGAAACGTTCGTAGCCTTAAGAATTCTTAACTTTGATCGTAGCCAACGTGTTAATAATGGGCTTAAGAATTCCGTACCCCGTAAAAATGTCTTAAGCCCATTCTTAACACAATGGCTAGCTATTCTCGAAACGTTGGTAGTCCTACGAACTTCTTAAGCCCATTCTTAAGACATTGGCTACGATCAAAGTTAAGAATTGTTAGGGCTACGAACGTTTCAAGGAAGGCCCTGTAGTGATACAGCTTCATGTTAGAAACCGGCAGTCAGTCATATCACAGCTGCATCAATAAACCTATAGTCGGCTGTATTGCAGCTGCATCATGCCACCTCTATTCCAGTTTCACAGGTGCGGTCGGTGACATGAATATTTGTTTGTTTAACACTGCATTCAGCTGTATACAGCTGTATGGACATTGTCTGTAAATAATCGAGTCTGGACCAGACAATCCAGTGATCAACATCATGAGCATCGATCCACCGGAATTGGAATATGATGACGTGTCAACCAAGTCAGCAAACTATTCTGCGACAATTACATTTATGTTAAGCAGAAGGTCATTAGTGACATGACAAGTGAGGTCACATCCAACATTACGATGTTCATATAGGACATCTAGACAACTTCTATGACTTTTCGGAAGGTGGTGACATGTCAATCCGATTCTGGAACATGTATGGCAAAACCATTCTCACAGTGAAGATTCCAACAAGGTCACTTTGTAATTTCTTTATTTCTCCATTACAATACTGGCAGTGTTGTAAACATGATCATGATGACGAACAACATACAAAAATATTTTGATCTTGACTGAAATGAACAGGTGGATATGGTCAAGGAAGTCACATCACTGGATGTTCAAATTCAACAACTCCAGGGTTACATCCAGGACTGAAAAACACGACTACTCCAGAAGGTACACTACATATTTGTCATTACATGGAGTTCTCAGTAAGTCACATAGAGGCTACCTTTAGTTGACGTTATTGTCACCCTGTTTGTTTTTGTATTAAGGAATCACCAACATTTAGGTCTGCAGGTTAGCAGTTAGTGAAGTTTTATACCATTTCTAGCAATATCCCAGCAATATCATGGTGGGGGACACCAGAAATAGGCTTCACACATTGTACCCATGTGGGGAATCGAACCCGGGTTTCATCGTGTCGAGTGAACGCTTTAACTACTAGGCTACCCCATGGAATGAGCTTACTCAGTTTACATCCAATAAAGGGGCCTGAAGTCACCCTGAAGCACCACTACAAAGAAGAAAGTAGTTGTTGCTATCGAATAATGCGTCATATTCGTGTTCTTTCAACTTTTAAATGCCTATCAAAGATTTTACAAAACACTGTTGTTTTAAACTAATGGGATGGACTTCGTATTTTCTCAGCCTCAGATTTTTGTGACTAATTTTTAGGTCACTGTTTGTTATCCTCAAAAAGGAGAACAGAGTAATCTTATGTATTGAAAAGAGAAGGTAAAAACTGTCAGCAGACTTTTCTGGAAATAGAATGTTGTGACTTGTAGTGGTACAGTGAGTGAGTGAATGAGTTTGGGTTTATATCTGAAATATATCACGGCATGTCAGTTTGATGTGGGGGAAAGGCCAGAGTTAATGCAGGTCTTTGATGTATGACTTTGACACAGACATGATAGTGAGAAACCCAGAAACAATCAGGGCCAGTTGGAATCCAATGCCACTACCATAGGATTCTGACACCCCAAAGGCAACTCTTGCTGCCCTGGGAAAACCGACCTCCAATCCCCAGGAACCATGTTCTAGACACAAACCTGCAGGCTGATATTCCACTTTGACTGACAATGCTGATATGTGAACAAGAGACCCTTGTTTAACAAGTAACCACAAAGATAACAACAAACCTCAAGGCAGATTCAACAAATGATGAATGAACGAGTGACTATTGTTTTTATAGCACTAACATGGCAATATAAAGGCAGGTGAACTGGTTTCAACCATTGTATGTAAGTGGAAATCGAAGCTTAGTTTTCTCATGAAGCTGAATACCTAACCACCAGGCTGCATTAAAGCCCCTCAATGGATTATGAAGTTAAAATTGATGCAATTTCAAAGATGTAGAAGAAATTCATTTATATATTCTCAATACATCACTAACAGTCACGTGTTTGCTTAACACAATCAATCCATTCTATCATTCCTAATAGTAAAATTGAAAATATCCTTGCAGTCTCACTGCCTCCTGATCTGTTTGAACACAAACAATCTTCAGTATAACCAATTAGGGGTGAAACAGTACGCGCTTACCACGGTTCGTATTGTGGTCCGTTTTGGTTTCGTATACGAGAACTTACTTCTGAGAAAATAGCGGCCATCTGGCAAAGAAATGCATAGCTTTTGACAAAATGATTCGATTTCTAAGACATTTTAGAAAAGGTTTTAAAAGGTTAATAAATGACGGTACGAAAACCGAAAATACCGAATTCTTGGACTGCATTACGTATACCGAACCGAAGGCAAAATACCGTGGTTCTACTAATACCGCTGTATACTGTTTCACCCCTATAACCAACATCATCAATGGACATGATTCACAGTTGTTGTCTGTGTGATACTCTACAAAGTAGAGTTAAGAATATTGGTGGCCACACCCCTACAGCCTGGTAGGTTGTGTATGGATGGGTGGATTGATGGATGGGTGGGTGGATGGGTTCATGGTTGGTATGGAAGGGTCTCTGGGGTGGTAGAGAGAAAGCAGAGTTTAACTCTGTTCACAACACACCAGCTACGACACAGCAGGTGACATCAAGAATTGGCGTAATTCTTTGCCCATGTAAAATATTGGCAACTGAACCCATGACAGGCATGAGCTTTACAACTGGATTGACCCCTCCCCAATGACTGACTGACTGACTGAGTTTGGTTTTTTACGCCGCTTTCAGCAATATTCCAGCAACATCACGGTGGGGGACACCAGAAATGGGCTTCACACATTGTACCCATGTGGGGATTCGAACCCGGGTCTTCGGCGTGACGAGCCAACGCTTTAACCACAAGGCTACCCCACCGCCCCCCTCCCCAATGAGTGAATGGAATTTCAACACTGTGTTACTTGTGTAGAGGTATGATAGGACGAGTACCCTTCCCAACCTATGGTCTTGCCCACAAATCAATGACGCCTGATATGTTCCACTACTGTGATGACCATCCATTAACAACACACCCTCATCTCTCCGCCAATACCACAGAAAAACTGACCACAGTTTCAATAATTCTTGATAATATGCAACACATGCACTCATCCATCACAACTGTCCCCCTTGTTCGCTGTATCTAGCAAACTTCACCCCAATGGAAAATCCTTATCACTAGTACATCCCCTGCTTGACACATCAAACTAATCACTCAGTGGGATGCAACCAACCTTCTCTAACACCTTACCTCCACCTATTCAATAAACCGTTCATCATATCGCTCAACATCAGTATGTTCAACAAGTAAGGCAATCACAATGGGCTGACTGTTCCAACCCAAAACTGCCTGACCAAAAATGTACAGCAAATATGTTCTACAAACGAACTTGTGGAAAGTCATCTTGTTGGCAGGACGGCCGATTGGTTACAAGTCGGAGGAATTCTACTTGCTCTCGGGAAGACCAAATGTCCACAGGTAGTCAGCCAGACCAAAAGATGCTCACTTCCTCGTAAGTGACCACATGACCACAGGAAGTCAACCAGGCAACAAGATGCTCACCTCGTCGTAACTGACCATCTGGCCACAGGAAGTCCACTAGGCCACAAGATGCTCACCTCATCGTAATCAACCACCTTACAGTAAGGCTATACGACCACAGGTAGTATGAGCCTTACAGGAAAGCCACCTGTTCATCATAGTTTTCATCGACATCCGGTATCTTCCACTGACACTTGCGTCCAAACTCGTACATCTCCTTGATGGTGGCCTGTACCTTGTCATCCCCATCCTCCTGTAGCTCTTTGTACTTCTGATACAGCTTCAGGGCAGTGATGGCGTCCTCCACAGAGTCGTGAGTGTACGACTGAATGTTAATCTCTGGCAATCACACAGGAACAGGCATAATCAATCAAGTGTCCATTTTATCATCAGAAATATTTAGCAAACCAAACAAAACGCAAAAAAGACACTGTCAGACTTCCAGTCTTTTCTTAGACGCATAGCAACCGGCATTGGCAGATCCAGGGGTGGTGGGGATGGGGGGTGGTTTGTTCCGAAATGACCACATTGAAGATTTTTTTGTTTGCGTTGGCGGAGCGGAGGTTCAGGGGGGTTTAGGGGGTGAAGAAAGTCCTCCTTGGGGTACGGCCACCCGCCTCCCCTCATTCTGTCTGATACGTTCAGCATGAAAAGTGAGGTGCGAGTTGTCGGCTAGAGTTACCTGCTCTTGCCCCAGAAAGCCCCCACCCCCCTTCAAAATTCCTGGATCCGCCCATGACCTGTGTCCAATTGCACAAAGCAATCATAGAGCCTAAGACTGTTTTAGGTCTGTTAGAATATGGCAGTTACGACCATTATAGCACTAAGATCGCTTTGTGCAAGTGGGCTCTGGTATGTACACAGAAGGTAAGCATTTCTTATTATGAAAATGGCATGAGATACCTTACTGTCTTGGAATATGCCAGAATATTAGGTTGCTAACATGGCATTGCGGACCAACAGAATGTTGTCTACTACCAAATGTGTCACAAAAGGACACTTGTTACTTACTGAGGTAGTACCAGGCTAGGAACTTGAGTGAGATCATCCTTTGTCTTGGGAGGTGAAACAGTTCCACTGTATCAATCACCTGGTCCTTCCGAACCTGAAACATCAAGGATGCACAGTGTCAACATCAGCCTTCTTATCCTCAACAGTGTCAATATGAAAAAAAAAGCTGAAACTATCTAAAACAGAGGATGATTTTTTTGCTTGATCAGCATACTTTCAACGACATCCTGGAAATAAACACTCTGCCTGACATCATTATGTTTAGTTTGTTTCTTTAATGCTGCACTATCATATTCCAGTTATATGGCAGTCTGTAAATAATCCAGCCTGGATAGGACAACCCAGTGATCAACAGCATGAGCATCGGTCTACGCAAACCAATTTATGCTAACATTAACATGTGTGTACTGACCAGTATATTGATGACCCTGAAGTCCTTCTTGAGTCCGTGGCCCACAAACACAACCCCAGCATCAATGAGAAAGCGCAGCTTCTGGTACGTAGACTTGAGGGTGGTGAGATGCTTGATGGAGACAGCAGCGTCGAGGTCTCCAGGCTTGATACCTGAATACTGGGTCAGGTAGTCAACCACCTGAACAGGGAAACCAACCAACGATTATTGCAGGGGTGGAAATAACCCATTGCCCGACGCCCGAGTCCAGTGGTTTTTTCTGTCAGGCAAGCAAATTTGTATATCACACTGTACCGGTGTCCAGTTGACTTTCCAATATTAATTATGTTGTTTATTTAAAAAATCAACAAGAAAACTGGCCGGTATAGTGGAAAAATTATCAGGGCAAGTGATTTTACATGTGCCACTGTACCGGAGTACACTAGCAATTTTAAAGTTATTTCCACCCCTGTATTGGGTGGACAAAGGTCTGAAAGAAAGCAGCTTATTTCACATAACTGGTGAGTGGTGATATCTTTACGCATGGATTACTTTGTGGATAGTTATTACATAAGAAAAGTAGCTGCTTTCTGTCTTCGGATATTAAAACTTTACCTTATCACAATAATTTATGTATGATATTATCATTGACACAACTTCCATATCTATAATTATAAACATTTCTTCCCAACATTGATCTCTATAGCTCACATGCATCTCACCTGTTCTGGGTTGGCAATGTAGTCATCAATGAAAGGCTCACCAAACTGTGGTCCTTGCCTGTGAAACAGGAATGTTTGGACCCAAATAACAACACCATTGCAGCAGTGACTAATGTTAATTTCATTTCATGAGTGAGTGCGGCGTGTGTCTCACTTTTACATTCTTTTTCAGAGAGATCGTCCTTGGGGTACATATGATATATGCATTTTCTGCGGCTGAAAATGTCATTTCACAGTTGTATCAATGTTTTAATAAAAATATTGTACAATAAATAAAAATCTTTCTATCTATTATACGGCCCCCACCACGTGGAGTTACCTCCCTGCTACGCATGCGCAGCCAACCAGGTAAGCACCTAGGCCTGTATCATCATTCATTCTGCTGAATAAATCAGTGAACAGAATTGCGGGGAGGTGGGCGGCCCTACCCCAAGGACAACTCTCTTCAAAGAATTGGAAACCTCTGCAGGTTTAGTTAAGTTTTACACATGCTGTAGTTTAACATGGATCTCACACATTTTCCTCTGACATGATACTCAATATTATTTCCTCATGCTGAGCAACAGCCAGGGTGACAAGTGCTAGCTTTCAATGGTCTTCCTTTGGTATAATGTGTCCTTCGACTCTCCAAGCAGATGTTCTATCCACAAAATCACATAGGCAGTCTTTGATGGAACAACTATGCAAGTGCTGACAAATCTTGAGATGCCTGCATTGGTCAGTCTGAATCAGTCTAAATTCAATAGGGGCAGTGGGGTAGCCTAGTGATTAAAGCATTCACTCGGGTTTGATTCCCCACATGGGTACAATGTGTGAAGCCCATTCCCGTGTCCCGCTGTGATATTGCTGGAATACTGCTAAAAGGGGCGTAAAACCATCCTCTCCCACTCATTTAATTCAATAACTAGTGAATATGTTACTTGCAAGCATGGCTTACAACGACCTTAGCAGTGTTCCAGCAGCAACAAAGCACAACATATCCATTTGGAAGTTCAACTCAGGCACTCAGTGAGTCAAGCCAACACTTTGTGTCACCAACATAAATGAGGATACTGTCACACCTACCCTCTTATACATGTGATCCTGGCGACAGCCATGTGGGACGGTTTGATGGTGGAGCGAGTGCCGTCACTGCGTAGCTCAGATTCTTCCTGCAGAACAAAGAATCATTTTGCTATACTTATCAATTTGAGCAAATGAATGTTGTTTTATGTCACAGACAGAATATTTCAAGCTATGTAACAGTAAAGTTTGAAACCTTAACCAGGGGTGGAAATAACATTAAAATTGCTAGTGTACTCCGGTACAGTGGCACATGTAAAATCACTTGCCCTGATAATTTTTCCACTATACCGACATTTTCTTGTGGATTTTTTAAATAAACAACATAATTAACATTGGAATATCAACTGGACACTGGTACAGTGTGATATACAAATTAGCTTGCCCGACAGAAAAAAACACTGGACTCGGGCGTCGGACAATGGGTTATTTCCACCCCTGTTAACCAGCACTCTTGCAAATTGTGACCCGTGAAGATTGGGTGGTCAGGCTCGCTGACTTGGATGACACATGTCATCGTAGCCCAATTGCGTAGATCAATGCTCATGCTGTTGATCACAGGATTGTCTGGTCCAGACTCAATTATTTACAGACCACCCCCATATAGCTGTAATATTGCTGAGTGTGGTGTAAAACTAAACTCATTCACTCACTCACTTGCAAACTGTTGACATTCAGCAAAGCTAATAATAGTCCATAAAACCATAAAATAGCACAGAACAGACAAAAGATGAAAAAAGATGATGAGGGCCCTCTTTGGTCTAGCAGACTAAATGTTTTGGACACACACAGATGATGTCTGAAACTATTTGGGTCAAGTGGGGTCCAGTGATTGACAAACCAGTGATTGACATTATGAGCACTGATCTATGCAATCAACCAAGGCAAGGAGTCTGATCACAAGATCTATTTAGAAGATACTTACAACAAGCATGGGCTGCTGGTAATGTATACATATTCTTACCCAGCATCCCAACAGCAGCATGAGTAAAGGGAAGAGAATCTGGCATGGAAATAATCAATAATTTTCTTACCTCCTTGAGTGAAACAAACTCAGCATCGAGACCGACGATTTCCTTGGACTTTGGCAGATCTTCTAGCAGCAGAGGTGTGAATGTCATCTTCCGTCTCTTTGGATTCATCAAGGACAGGTCGTTGAAGATACAATCGGATCCAACCTGACTTGTTACTGAAACATCAGCACCAGATATATGACTGAATCACTAACATTTCTATAGGTCCACGACATATACTTTCTTGTGCACACTATGCACAACAAATTTTAAGCAGTCAAAAATGTTATTGCTTTTGGTTCAGGAAAAGGGCGTTTGAGAAGAAACAACATGAGCTAGTATTAATGTACATTTTGGCAGAAGACGGTCACACATAATTTACAGCATTAACAGTCTCCATCAGTCTCAGAGGATGTACTTATGCAGTATATCATTTGGTATCTTAGCCACAGCTCTTGTGTACCTATGTGCATATTTGTTGTGTGCTTTCATCACAGAATGAAGTTACATGGCTAGAGTGAGTGAGTGAGTTTAGTTTTACATGAGCATCAATCTGCTGGCGGTCTGTAAATTGGGGATCAGACAATCAGTGTCAACAACCAATCTGCGCAATTGGGAACCATTGACATGTGTCAACCAAGCCAGCGAGCCTGACCACCCGATCCCATTAGTCGCCCCTTACGACAAGCATGGGTTACTGAAGATTCTTTCTAACCCGGACCGTCATGGGTCTTACATGGCTAGAATATTGCTCGATTTTGCAAATCATTGTCATATTCACACACAGATCCTGCCTCCAAACTGTTGGCCAATACTTGTGTGAATGCTGAATTATTTAAGAAAACTCATTATTAATATTACTCAAATGTTTGAGTGCTAAGCAGGTAAAAACAACGGGTTGCTCACCTGTGAGATCATGGTACCGGGTGAGATTTCTCTTGACGAAGTAGATGGCACAAGGCACCTTCCAGTCGAGGTTAAAGTGAATAGCCTCATACTGACAACATGAAGATGGTGATTAACACAAGCATGAGGACTAGTGCTGGACTGACTGATCAAATAATCGGCCAATCGATCGATCTCATTTGCGTCAACGAATATCGGAGACTCGGGCTCAGGACACTAATCGATATTCATGAAAAAATTAAACATCCAATTTAATTTTAGAAAAGATCCAGTTTCCTGACTCATGAAACAGCAATGTAAAGAACATACTCGTGTGTGAGTCAACAATAAGTCTCTTTTAATAAATAAGGGTAGCCTAGTGGTTAAGGCATTCGTTCGTCACGTCGAAGACCTGGGTTCGAATCCCCACATGGGTACAATGTGTGAAGCCCATTTCTGGTGTCCCCCGCGTGATATTGCTGGTATATTGCTAAAAGAGGCATAAAACTGAATTCACTCACTTTAATAAATACTAAGGCTAGAAATACCCAGAGTACCTTCTTAACAAATCATATTTAGTATAACTGTGGGACAAAGCACTGATTGATATGGCTGTGTATTGGCAAATAAAGCGTATGGCAATATATTATTTAACAGTCAGAGACACTGACCGTACTGGCAGTTCCTATTTCCCACACACTACGGCTCTAGAAATACATGATATGGTTCTTATAACATCAGTCTCAGAAAGGGATTCTTTCATTTACATACAATTGCCATGATTGTTACAAGGACAACCAATCAACCAAGTTTTTACATACAATTGCCATGATTGTTACAAGGACAACCAATCAACCAAGGTCTGGGGGCCTCCCGTGACTTAGCCAGGAAATATGCTGCCAATCCATTTAGTCGACTTACTACAATTAGTCGCCTCTTACAACCAGTAGAGCTTTCTGTGGAACCTTTCTAAAGTACTATACTAGTGCTCCCAACCCTCCTCACCTTCTCAATGGGTGTGATGGAGAAGTCATTGAAGAGGTACCACTGTGTGCACGTGACCTTCTCCTTGCGCTGGTGGAACTCCTCGCCCACCAAGATGTGACTGACCAGGTTGCCCCCCGTCTTGTCGTGAACGTGAGTCACAGTGGCGTATAGCTCGTAGTGCTTCACCTTCTCATCCTCGATCTTTGGCAGCGGTTCCTGCAAATATGAAACGCCTTGTTAAAAATCTGCCTCTATTCACCCAGCTGTGAATGTGTACCCAGTAGCAAGAGGTGTGACTGCTAACTTTTTAGTGTCTCACAGGCAGCTTGGGTTGAATACTCCCCAGGGAGTTGAGATAGTGATTATGTTGACTACTGTATTATTATTGAAGTCCTAATCACACTAACCTCATCCGACACCTCTGTTATCCTGACTGTTCCATCATCATTCAGTCCCATCCTGAGCCCCAGGGGGAGCCACTTGGGGGACGTCTCCTCATCCTCCACTTGTTCCAGCAACTCATCCAGGATGCTACTGCAAAGGGGAAAGGGAAGGGGGAGACATTGTTACTGACAGCATATGTGGTTTCTATAGAAACCCAGCATTTCAAATATAATACCACCCTTTCAGGTGAGGTGAGGTGAAATTGGATTTAAGGTTGTGCTTGAGAATATTTCGCTCATATGACGACGTGCATGCGTGTGTGTGTGTATGTGTGGGTGCTTGTACTAGCCCAGACTGAAGCTGGTTTTATAGTGCTAGCCCACTGAGATACCATGCCGCAGTGAAGCATGAATATCCCACTCAGACACATTATACTGACTCCGAGCCGACCAGTCCTTGTTGTACCCATTAATGCCGAGCACCAGGCAGGGACCAACAAGTACCATATTTTAACGTCTTTTGGTATGACGCGATCGGGGATCGAACCCGCAACCTTCCGCTCTCCGGGCGGACGCTCTAACCACTACATCACGGAGGCGGTCTGTAACCTTTCAGCAAATTCCGATATCAACTAAAATGAAGTAACAAATTTGGTGAATAAGAATTTGAAATTGGCCATAAAACATGACTAGACATGACAAATAATACCTCCTGTTCCGCTGGGCACTTACTGCCGATTGCATTGTTGCCACAACTGAACTCTGCACACGCTTCCTCCCAATCAACCCGTAATTAAGTTAACACATAGCCAGGAAACATAATGGTTCACTTACTCATGCTCAGGGTCGTGCTTGAACTTGCAGTCCTTGCGTTTACAGGCGCTGCCATAGCGACAGTTTTTGGCCATCCGACGAGAGGAGGTTGCAGGATGGACCTGGTTCTCTTCATCTTCCGCTCGTACAATCTGCAAAACAAATTGATATATGAACAAAAACTGGTGACAATGAAACTGGTTTGCAACCCATTGTGATATCACTTATTACCATGACATCAGAAACAATTCTGCCACTGCAGCACATTATCTGAATGTTTAATATATAAGATACTGCTTATTACAGTAAGCAAAAAAGGGTGACTTGTGATGATGAATAGAATTTCCCTGAGGTGTTTGCAAGCATACACAAAAAGTTGATTATGTTGGCGTTTCTTTCTGACTTAAATGTCAACAATGAATAATGTAATTTTCTGAGTAACTTCAATTGGGAGATACAAGTGTTCCACTGTGTTCGCAAAGAAGAAGAAGACAAGCAAATAAGCATGAGTCAGGATAAGGGAAAATAACAATTATTGCCAAATTCAAGGCCTTTACAAAGTATTTTATACAATTTTTAGGTCTTAATAAAGTGGATGGAATTGAAGGATTTTTCAATGCCACAAGACTGGACTGCCTGTAGGTCTTGGACAAGCATGAGCATGGGGGTCACTTGGCGGGTATCATCTTACCTCATGCTGGATCCTCCAGAAGTTGAGGTCCTTCTCATTCTCCAGCTGGCAGTTGAGGGCCAAGACATCTGGCAGGTTCTTGAGAGCTCGACGCTGGGTCTGTAGCAAGATGGCAAACATGACTGTGAGTGACATTTCCGGCACATATCCTATAGGTGGACCACCATCAACACAGTGAGTGAGTGAGTGAGTGAGTGAGTGAGTGAGAGTGAGTGAGTAAGTCGCCACTTTTAGCAACATTCCAGCAATATAATGGCAGGGGACCCCAGAAATAGGCTTCACACATTGTACCCATGTGGGGAATCGGACTTGGATATTCGGCAAGACAAGCCAATGCTTTAACCACTAGGCTATCCCTTTCTTTCCCATGCATCTAGACACTACGAGGGGTGGTGGCATAGCCTTATGGTTATAGTGTCCGTTCATCATGCTGAAGACCCGAGTTCGTCTTCCCACATGGGTACAATGTGTGAACCCATTTCTGGTGTCCCCCGCCATGATATTGATAAGTGGCGTAAAACTATACTCAATCACTAGACCCTATGACTTAGACATGTATGACACTGTGATGTGTTGTATCGTCTAGTTGTACGTACATGTTGCTGGTAACGGCCACACTCGTTACACCAGGCCTGCATTGTGCCTTCTCCCATCAGGCTGTGCTGTATCACCTCCGAAAACTTGTACTTCCTGGGACCTTGACCTAGGGCACAACATTATTATAACATATTGCCTTCTTTTGTTTCTACCTAAGGGGATGAAACGCTGGGCGTGAAAAAACAAGGTTTTATGCGACTCACATCCCTTTCATTGGCAGGTATTCCTCTGAACTGAGGTTGTTTCCACAAGTTTACACACAATGCGGCATGAATCAAAGGGATGCTGTAGAGTAAACTAATTAGGGCTAATTGAGTTGAAGGTGTCACTTGTTTGGTATTTAATTAGGATTAATTAAGAAGGAATTAATTAGGAAGTACTCACTGTTACGAGTAAGTGAGTGAGTTAAGATTTTAAGTCACATCGGCAATATTTCAGCCATATCGTGACTACAAAGAAGTTATAATTTTACTGTTACGAATAAACACTACTGATAATGGATTATAGTTTCGAATAAAAAAATACTGAGAAGCGTTTTGTTTTCTATCATAGTGATATGTGAAGATATGCCCTGGTCGGATGTCTCGAAGTTTGGATAACTCGATATTTTTTCTTGGTCCAATGAATATCGAAACAACGGTGCCCGACTGTATATCATGTTTTAGAACATCACATACCTGGTATGTTATAATGTAGAGTAACACGGTATGTTACCATGGATACAGAGTGGCATATTACATACCTGGTATATTACAGTCTGGGTAGGAGAGGTTGATGAGGGTGAGATCGTTGTCGCGGCTTGTCTCCTGACTACATCGACACTTCAAGGACAAGTTGGTCTTGATCCCAAACAGCTCCGTCACCTTAGAAACTTCCTCTTTCCTACCAACACATTAAAGTAAGTGAGTGAGTGAGTTGAATTTAACGCCCCTTCAACAGTATTCCAGTTACGTCACGTGGTATGGCAGCTTGATGTGGGAAGAAAGCGACATGATGTGGCTTACAAATGTTCACCACTTTGTGCGAAATAGTTTCCAAATTTTGCAAGCCGGTCGGGCTAGTTATGCCTGAAAGTTAGTTGCTAGACCACAAAATAATTCACTAGCCTAAAATTTGAATGTAGACATGGGTTTCATCATTAAGCTGCTAATATGATGAACATTTTTATCAGGCCATAATCTTGCATGATTTAAACGTGTATTTTAACTTAAGTTGGTAAGAGAGATATATTTACAAAATGATCCCATGAAAATTCACTAGCCAGTTGGGCTAGTGACTGTGGAGATTTACTGGCCCGACTGGATTTTTACCAGCCACGTGCTAGTCCGTTTGATTTCATTTGAGACCGATGAATTGCTCACTTAATCAAAATCTAATAAATGCAACATGGTCAAACTTTGCACAGTCACATGAAATCGACTTACCAACTCTGAACAGCCAGGTGTGAGAGTTGCACCTGTGAAATTGAAATTTCACTACACACACTTGTTGATTACCTGGCTGTTCTACCAGCAAGTGGTCCTCCCTCGTAAGAAATAGCGAAAAGTGACAACAAAATAATGATCGTTTGTTAAACAACTTTTTTATTCAGGTGTCCAAAATTATGAGACAAATCATCAGAGTTGGTCTGTCGATTTCATGTGACTGTGCAAAACTTGGTTTTGTTGCAATTATTATGTGTTAGTGAGCAATTCATCGGTCTCAAATGAAATTAAACGGACTGTAGTGAGTGAGTGAGTTAATTTAGTTTTACGCTGCACTCAGCAATATTCCAGCTATATGGCAGCAGTCTGTAAATAATCGAGTCTGGACCAGACAATCCAGTGATCAACAGCATGAGCATCGATCTGCGCAATTGGGAACCGATGACATGTGTCAACCAAGTCAGCGAGCCTGACCACCCGAAATATATTGTAGTGATGGAGAAAGAAAGTGATGTTTGTGCTGCATTACCATGTTTTTATGATCCAAATGAATATGTAGCACATTATGTTTGGAAAACACCAATACGTTGCATTTTGAAAAAAATCATGCAGATTTTCATCAAATTGGCCAATAGGCTTACATAAGTGAAAAGTCGAACAGATATTATAAATTTCAGAATTTAGCAATGATTCTTGTGATAAAACTGCGAAATTATTACCTAACAGTTTCCATTAAATCATATGTCTGCTACCAGGTGTGGCCACAACCACATCCTTCACAATAATTCTTTAGAAGTTGGTATGATGAAGAGGAACAAGTTACATAGATTGAAAATGTCTTCATTGCACTGAATGCGATGTTCCGGTGATGATGCTAACACCGTTATCAAGCAAATGATACTAACAGTGTTAGCATCTCCACCGAAACATCCCCTCCACTGCAATAAAGAAGCTGTCAACCCAAATAACTTGTTCCCCGACTTCAGTGTTGTCAAACATGTGCAGGACAAGTATGATACATGGACTGAAAATAAGGACAATGGCCAGAAAATCACAGTACAGATACAAAGAATGCATGCAATAGATTGTGGTACATATCTGAAAGCACAAATCATTAAAATAAAATAATATGGAATAAACTGCTATTATTCAAGTCAATACCCATCACCAAAAAGGCGAATACGTTTCCCCACGAAACGTGAATTTGTTGATCTAAAAGTGATTATAATGTACCAAAAGGCGAAAATGAAAAATATTATAACCAATGGTGAGAATACAAACATACTGTAAGTACACTATATGGAAAATATTGATTCTTACCGAATTTTAGAAATGTTAACTAAATGTACCAAGTTGTGAAAATGAGTGAAAGTATTGTAGCAATGGGAGAGAATAAGTGAATGAGACAGGCAGGTAGAATACATATGGCAGATGTTAGTACATACAAATTTACAACTTATGCAAACACACCCAGTACAGTAATGAAAGCAACAGTTTTTTCACAGTTTAATCAGAGAGTTCAATAAGATGACTTTCATATCTTAGGGACCGTTCATAATTTATGGCTGGGGTGGGGGTGGGGGTGGTCGGGTGGATAGGGATTGTGTGTTGATGATTTTGAGGGGGATCACCCATTTTGTTATGGGGAGGTAGAGGGGATATCAATTTTGTACACATGCTTTAGGGGGAGGGAGTTATTGATGTTGTACATGACTTGCAGGGGGGTCACTTACTTTGTACATAATATTTTTATTTAGGTTTTTGGTTTTTTATTTATTTTTATTTTATTTTATTGGGGGGGTATGGGGGGTAGGGGGGCATTTACAATGTACATGCTTCTCCAGAAAAATCATTATTTTCCATGGCGGGATAGAATTAGTCTTCAGCTACTCATCCTTGTAATAAGAGGTGACTGATGGGATAGGATGGTCAGGCTTGCTGACTTGGTTGATACATGTAATCGCATCCCAATTGCGTAGATCAGTGATCATGCTGTGGATCACTGGATTGTCTAGTACAGACTCAATTATTTACAGACCGCCGCCATATGGAATTTTGCTGAGAGCGGCGTTAAACAACAACCAATCAATCAATCATGTTGATGGGGACCAGTTCTAACCTGGAATCCCAATGCAAGTAATGATTGCACTGAGCTACACACAAAGAGCAAGTGCTACACAACGACATAGGTGATATCCCAGATATGACAGTGATGTTAGTGAAGAATATGACATGGTTCAAGCCTACCAACTTTCCCACTGTGCAGAAAAACGCAGAAAAGCCCACATTAATTGTGGAAATAGCAACATAAACAAAATACCTCGCTACTGAAACAGTAAAAATGGCAACGAAAGACTATGAAACTGCAACATTTTGTATCAACGAACTTTGACCTCTACTGCGCATGCGCATTACGATCCGCGATTCTTTCAAATTTTCCGAGCAATCTTGAATCGCCTCGCGTAGAAGAAGTATTGAAATTGTCAAAATAATTGCTGTCAATCATTTCATACGACTTGAAAGTAAACTAAACAAGTGTGCACACAAGTATGATGATGATAAATGCCAAATAACACAACAGAAATACTATAAAAAGGAAATGTAACTTTTGTCCAAGCTGGAAAATGTCAACATGCGGTCCAGACATCCTCTTCCATGTGCGCATGCGCAAAATTGAAGTTGCAGGCTCTTCGAGTTTTTTATCCCGTTTTAGCGATTTAAATTTGCCCTTTTTACTGTTTCAGTAGCGAGGTATCATGTTTATGTTGCTATTTCCACGATTAATGTGGGCTTTTCTGCTCTTTTCTGCACAGTGGGAAAGTGTTCTTTGGTAGGCGTGTGGTTAATGACAGGATAGTTAGAGGGCATGAAAGCATGCCAAAGGAGGCGACTCTGCAACAGCCAACTGCTGAATCGACTGACATTGTCCCTGTGCATTAAAGGCAAGAAAAGATGAAACGATGAGGATGCAAATGACATGGTGACACATCCACAACACCAGCAACGACTGACGACGTAATCAGCCTGTGATGACAGCAACAACATTGATGATAGAGGTGCAAGCCACACTGATTATCGTGAATTACCACTGATGCCCCTGATCTGTCAGTGATGATAAATCGATACTTACATCTTGTTATATTATACGAACACCCTGAGCAATCTTGCATTGACACCCTGAGCGATGTTACACTGACACCCTGAGCAATGTTACACCAACACCCTGAGAAATGTTGTTACTGTTACAACACCAACACCCTGAGAAATGTTACACCAACACCCTGAGAAATGTTACACTGACACCCTGAGCAATGTTACACGGACACCCTGAGCAATGTTACACCAACACCCTGAGAAATGTTACACCAACACCCTGAGAAATGTTACACCAACACCCTGAGAAATGTTACACTGACACCCTGAGCAATGTTACACCGACACCCTGAGCAATGTTACATTGACACCCTGAGCAATGTTACACCAACACCCTGAGCAATGTTACACTGACACACTGTGCAATGTTACACTGACACCCTGAGCAATGTTACATTGACACCCTGAGAAATGTTACACCAACACCCTGAGAAATGTTACACCAACACCCTGAGCAATGTTACACTGACACCCTGAGCAATGTTACACTGACACACTGTGCAATGTTACACTGACACACTGAACAATGTTATACCTTCACCTGCTACAGATGTTACACCTTCACCTGCTACCGACGTTACACCTTCACCCACTACAGATGTTACACCTTCCCCTGATACAGATGTTACACCTTCACCTGTTTGAGACGTTACACCTTCACCCGCTACAGACGTTACACCTTCACCAGTTTGAGACGTTACACCTTCACTCGCTACAGGCGTTACACCTTCACCTGCTACAGACATTATACCTTCACCGGTTAGAGACGTTACACCTTCACCTGTTTTAGACGTTACACCTTCACCCGCTACAGATGTTACACCTTCACCTGCTACAGACATTACACCTTCACCTGCTAGACATTACACCTGCATCTGCTACAGATATTACACCTTCACCTGCTACAGACGTTACACCTTCACCTGCTACAGACATTACACCTTCACCTGCTACAGACATTACACCTTCACCTGCTAGACGTTACACCTGCACCTGCTACAGATGTTACACCTGCACCCGCTACAGACATTAGTGAGCACATGACAGAACTAGTTACCTGGCTGGCTCTTCTGAGACGTCCTCAGAAGCCTTCACGCTGAGCAACACAAGATAATGGGAAACAAGGATGAATAAAAAGCAAAAGATTTGTGATGCAATAGAAACAAGTCATCTGCGAGTCTTCAGTTATTTTCGAAAAGTGTTTTTTTCAATACTTGACTGCACTAAATAGATACCTGCTTCAAGTTTGCTCAGTCTACACACTCCACCTATGGCTCATTCCACAGGAAACTTGGCCAGCCAAATATTGACACCACTTCTATTATTTTCTAATATGCTTATTTAATGCAGATAATCCTACTTTTTCAATCACAGAAGGGTCAAAATGGTAAAGAGTAAAGTGCAGGTCTTGATGACAATTTTGTAGGTGACTTGTCCCTATCGCTATGATTTGTTCATGATTACAATGAATTGAAAACATTCATTAATACTTCTAGGACAAACATGGCAAGCTCAGGCTTTGCTGAAACGAGCACAGTGTATTAATGAAACACATCAACTGCTGCTCATGTACTGTTAAAAACAACAACTCTAATAATGCAAAAAACATCCACAGCAGGACAGTGACATGAGCAATGGACAAGCTGCTGTGAGATGAGGATGACATGGTAGGTGAATGCCTTATGAACTGTTACCATGACTACAGTATATACTGAAGGAAACAAATAAGGGAACACCACTTTGCAACAGTGCAATACTTGCGATTAAACCTGGAAAAAAATGAAAGGACACTTGAACTTTCATGTTCCCTTATTAATCTCCCTCAGTATATTATGAGCTGATTTTTAACATATTCTATGTAAAATGAAAGGATGTAATAAACACGGTACTTATTGTTTCCCTGCCTGATGCTTGACTTTTGAGGATAAAACAAGGACTGGTTGACTCAAGAGTCAGAATAGTTTTGATCGCCTAGTGAGAAACAACCTACTTGTCTTCCCCGTGACTATCTCCTGCCTCTGCCTCATCCTTCGATTCCTCTTTCTTCTTCCCTTTCTTCTTCTTCTTCTTGGACTTGCTGGGAGTTTGCTCCTTCTTCTCCGTGGCAGCCGACTCCGTGGAGGTATCGGCATTGGCAGGTGTGCCTGACTTGGAGTCTGACTCCAGCTTGATGGCAGTTTCCTGTGTACATGAGGAGGCAGTGAGTGGGGGTCAACTCCTGGACAGGTCAGTTAGATGCATCAGGTTTTCAACCCTGCAGTGTTGCATCTAGGATTCGCATTGACATGACCTACGACTTTATGATGGGCCACACAAAGTAATCACAATGTTAACATTTCAAATATTAATGTACACTTGTCTTTCATGAACAAAGGCTTGGCACTGATGGAGTGGACATTAAAACATTTGACCACCCCACTATCCCCTGAAAATGCAGACTTGGTACTGACCGAGTGGACCTGCTGCAGCACGAATCTCTGCCAGCTCTGGATCAGTCTCGGAAGATTCACCTTCCCAGCAGCCTCCTCTGCCTCGCTCAGACAGAGACCTAGAGCTGAAGCTTCTGGTATGGTGCGGAATGCTCGCAGGAAGTTACTTGCCTGTAAGAGAGAGAGTAAATATTCGTGTCACTGCATCCCTCACTGGACAAGGAGATGGTCCTTACCTGAAGACAAGGAGATGGCTCTTACCTGAGGACAAGGAGATACCTGAGGACAAGGAGATGGTTCTTACCTGAGGACAAGGAGATGGCTCTTACCTGAGGACAAGGAGATGGTTCTTACCTGAGGACAAGGAGATGGTTCTTACCTGAGGACAAGGAGATGGTTCTCACCTGAGGACAAGGAGATGGCTCTTACCTGAGGACAAGGAGATGGCTCTTACCTGAGGACAAGGAGATGGTTCTTACCTGAGGACAAGGAGATGGCTCTTACCTGGGGACAAGGAGATGGTTCTTACCTGAGGACAAGGAGATGGCTCTTACCTGAGGACAAGTAGATGATTCTCACCTGACAAGTCTGACCCTTCTGTGTGTCCAGCATATGGAAGAGGAAGCCAAGCTCACAGGACAGACAGAACTCTCTGTGGCAGAGATGACTGAGGAGATGACATCGAAGGGGCTCAAGGAAGTAAAGCACCTGCAGGTGAAGTGAATGAGTGAGTCAGTTGGGCTGTACAGTATCCCTGTTATACGCTAATACTGTTATCAAACGATACACATTTAATAGGGCTGTTACAGCAATATTCCACCTCTATGACATCTAGACCAGGCAGTCCAGTGATTGACATCATGAGCATCAATCAACGCAATTGGAATACCATGACATGTGTCAACCAAGTCAGCAAGCCTGGCAACCAAACCCTGCTAGTCGTCTCTTACAACAAGCATAGTTTGCCGAGGTCAATTCTAAAACGAATTAACATTGCCACATGCAATAAGTTATGCATTTCGATTTCAAAAGTGAACAATCCAGTTCTACTGCTTTGCCTTACATCAGTATTCCACAGTGCAAACATTGTGTAGTATCTTGAGGCGTATTAGTACAAACAACCCAACAAAAGTACAAGAATTAGTACTTTCCTTAAAAAGTGTAATCCCAAATATAACATATGTTACATTTGATCACTTTCTAAATGGCATTGTGTTATCATAGCTTTCAGACGTGGGAACCGTGCAAAAAGTACATAAAGTCCATTTTGTGGAAGTCGTGGTGGCTAAACAGGTTGGGTGGCTGACTTTGTGTGCTGGTAATTAGGTGCCTGACTCTGAGGGTGTGGGTTCAAATCCTGGATGGGACTAAACCCATCAAAAGTACAAGAATGTAATTTTTTGAGTAAAATTGATATTTTATACTTATCCTGACTCATGCTCTTTGTTTGTCTTCTTCTTCTGCTTAACATAGTGGAACACTTGTATCTCCTTAATTGAAGCCCTTCAATGTAAAATCACTAATTGGTACTCACCACGAAGTTGCCTCCCTTTGCCCTTTTAAGCGGAACAGGTGTCGCCACACCCTCTGGCCTCATGCTTCACTCTCTCCTGATTTTATGAGCCCAACACTTGAATTTACAGGGAAATCCAAAGTGTTATGTGGGAGGATGGGAGGGTTAATTCCATGAGTCAGGATAAGTATAAAATATCAATTTTACTCAAAAAATTACATATTTTCCCTTATCCTGACTCATGCTCTTTTGTTTGTAGAACTTACCGGAAACGGAGGTGGGCAAAACAGAATACTTTGGATTTATAGAATTAGTGATTTATATAGATTTAACTGTAATAACTCTACGGGAACTTCATAAAGGCATAGACTTAGGATAATTCCTCTATTATAAGCCATAGGTTATAATGCCATACTGGGGTATTTACATTATGATATACTGAGATATTATAAACAACAATATCAAAGCCACTCTGGATAGAGAAGCTATACCACTGAACATATATACATACTGCTAGAACTCCGTGAGTTATAAGCTAGATAATGCATGTAACAATTATGCATATTAATCTCGTAAGACTACGCGTTAACGCTACTGCAGGGACTGTCAACTGCTGTGCGAGGACCAAGGGACCTAAATGGTGAATGCCTGAGACGCCCTCGGTGGTGATATCTCTCAGGTAGTGATTAGCAAACACCATGTTAGATTTCCAAAAGCATCCTTCCATAATTGTATTCAAAGAACAGTTACCGTAAGGCGAGAGTGGAAGCTAACGCCTGATTTCATGGGGATTTGATGCTGTTGGAGGGTCCAGTCCTGCTGCCTTGTAGGCTGGCATGACAGTTCTTATCCATATAGATATGGTGGTACGAGAGACTTCTGTCTGAGTTGTTGCCGACAAGGGAATGAATAATCGCTTTGAGAAATCTTCACTTGTTTTGGAACGTCAGTAAATAGATTTTGAGAGCTCTGACTGGGCATAGAGATAAGTCCAGTGTATCTTGAGATCCGAGAATGGAGGATAATGCAGGGATATGAAATAACCTGTCTGGTTGACCTGGTAGTTGATTTTTGGCTGATGAAATCCCATCTTAATCCCAGGTGTGCTGTGTTTTGATTGTCATCAAACTGTATCCTCTCATAATCTAGTGCGTGAATTTCCGACATCCTGGCTGCTGTGGCTAGAGATAACAGGAAAAGCGCTTTTCTGTGAGAGAAGCTCAAAGTTTGTCGATTCCAGCGGTTCATAAGCCTCACTTGTGAGGTGTTGCAACACTATATTCAGATCCCAAGCTGGGCGTGGAACTTCCGCTTTTGGTCCTCCAATCGAAAGCCCGTGAGTAAGGCCAGTAACTCTGGAGTTCTTGTTAATCTAACACCCGCTCTCATGGTAATGACAGAACTAAGCGCTGCAAGATATGCTGACAATGTCGAGCCTTTTAAATGTTTGTTTTGGCCGTAAAGTAACACAAATAATCTGCCACTTGTGGATGAGTAGCATCTCTTGCTGTAAATCCCTTTATTTGCGTAGCACTTCTGAAAACTGTGCCACTTGTCAGCCGTATTGCCACGTGTAGAATACAGTAGCGGCAAGCGGACCGCTTTTGCCGCCTCTGGTAGAATACCCTCTCTTGTTTAAACACATTTTAATACAGTCCATAATGCGAAGTTGGAATACTTCTGGGCTTCCGCACCTTTTGGTGTGGATGTATTAATAGATTTGAGCTTTGGGTAGCTCTAGTGTTGGTTGACCGATTTCTTGAATTAGAATGGGAAATCCACGCTCTGGCCGCCAGTAGGGCCACCAAAGTGAGTTGGAGGCTCTGTGTTTGTCTGATTTTCTGTAACACTTGAGGTATTATTGCTGGCGGCGAAGCATGTACGCATTGAGGCCTCCCAGGATATGCTTAGAGCCGTCCGCTGCCCATGCTTGTGGGTCTGGGACTGGTGACACGAATGTCGGTAGCTGATTGTTGAAGCGTATTGCTTAATAGATCTACTAAGCGGGCCCTATTTGCTTGATTATCTGTGCAAATATTTCTGTATTGAGCATCCATTCTGTCGGTGACGGTTGATGTGGCGAGAGGCGCCTGCTAGTACATTCTTGGCTCCGGGAATGTGACATGCTCTGACATGTAGGTTTAGATCGTGGTATTAGATCGAACAGTTGAAAGCTTAAAGTCAATAGGTTCAGTGATCTTGTTGAACCTTTGTTTGTTTCACATAGAACGCCACTGTCGAGGTTGTCGGTATGAATCATTAAGTGCGCATTCTGTAGAATGTTGCTCCAATGAAGTATGGCGCTGATTACAGCTTTCATCTCTAACATGTTTATATGGAGCTTGCTTTCTTGCTGATTCCATAACCTTGATGCGTCCGCGGTTGGCGAAGATGAGCTCCCCTAACCTTGGAGCTTATCGCGTCCTACATATAGATGGGTTTTGGAATTCCTGCTCTTCTAAACAAATACCTTCGCAAACATTCGACCTCCTGGTCCACTCATATATTCTTTATTTATCCTCCAAGTTGGGAGAGTACAAGTACAAGTTGCAAAAAGGTAATATTTACACCACAGTCACATTGTTATGTGAAATAGAGTCTCTCAGAAGCTGGCTGCACTGCTTAGTGCTGTGTGACTTCTCTGCACATCAGATGAATGTACCTTACAGCCACACTAGTAAATGTTCTCTGATCCTCTGCATTAAGTCCATACTGAGGGCTACATGACAGAAGACAAACGTAACACCATCTCAAATGTCTGACAAGTTGTAGAACCATACACTGAAGTCCACAGGACCAATATTGATCAGTTCACACCACAGCTGATCTCTCACAGAGAGTAAATTATCACACTGCACGACAGCAATGGAAATCACACGGATCACTATATAACCGGCCACACTTCTCACACACAGGTACACAGCATCTTTAATGTATCTAATGCTGGAACATAACTGCACCAGGAACTTGGACGAGGTTCGGTACAGGTGGTCTTCCCGTGACAATGTCCATGCTGATGAACACACACAGGTCTCTGTGTATTCAGCAACCACTGGAGATCTGGTTCAACCGTAATCCTATCAGTCCACGGAGGCGAATAGAACTTCCAAACAGCGGCTTTCACACTTTGTTTCCAATAAGCCTTACGTGGGAATATGCCAGTTGACAAGTAGTCTTCTAGCACATTTGTCAACTGATACTTCTGGAGGATTCTCATCAGATCAGGAATAAAACCTCTCGGTTGTGCACACACACCATGAACAAAGCACAGTAGCCTTGTCAGAAACACCTGTGTGGAAGGTAAGATGTGTTCATGTTTATGAGGCTTTCCGCAAACAAGAGTTTCTTTTATCTATCTCAGCTTCCAGAGGTAGTAAACCCAGGAGACCAAGACACACATCAGTCCTAGTTCCCTTTGGGAGGCTTTGAATCGTTTTTATGACATGCCTGTAGGAACGCTCAAGCATAAGAATCTCAGTCTGACTGAGAGAGTTCCACAGCTCACTACCGAAAAAGACACTTTGGTAGAGCTACTTTCTGGATCAGTTTCAGACAGACAATGGGAGACACCAGAGATGGATTAAATCCTTTCCTTGAAATTGTGTAAGCATAGGATCTGATCTTAGTACATGCCTAGTGTTCTTTCCATTGAATTAAACCTGTCAGAGAGTATAATGCCTACATGTTTGACTTGGTTAACTGTTGGTAGTAGACCCCATATAAAGAGAGGTCGTCAGCAACAACTTTAGATTTTCTGCTAGCCCCAAATGTAACGCACCTCAGTCTTACTAGAGGAGAATGTGGCGCCACAACCTACTGTAGTTTTCTGCAATTCTCAGGAGGGAGCTGAGATTACTGGTACAGGAACTCACCAAGGCTACGCCATCGGCTTGAGTTGGACATTCTGTGTTCAAATCCATAATCAGGGCACCTTCTTCGATTCAGTAATATCGCCCAAGAGTTGGTTGATATACAGCAGATACAGCCTTGCAGACAACACTCCACCCTGACGCATCGCCTTTGCTGAAGAGTGAACCACCTCGATTATGACAGTGTTACCTATCAATACACAGCTCTCCATATCATGGTACAGCTTGTCTATAACAGTCCACAGTTTTCCTTTTACTCCACCATCATACAACTTCTTCCGCAAACCATCATGCCACACACTGTCAATGCTTTACAGCTGTCAAGAAATAGCACATGAACGCCGCTGCCTCGGGCCTTGGTAGTGCTGAACTGTCTCCTGCAGGTTGAACGGTTGCGAGTTGAACAGAGACTTTCCTGGTAAAGCCATCTGCTGTTTGTTAGGGAAATTGTTATCCTGGCGCAGAGCTGCCTTTAAGTGAGGCAGTAGGGCCATTTCAAAGACTTTCTCTATTACGGGGGCTTAATGAAATACCGCATGATAACAGTTTGGGTCTTTCTTTGATTTGCAGCCTCCTTTATGCAGTGGCAGGATAACACTCACGCTTCCAGGCTCGTGGAATGAAACCAGTTTGAATGACAAGGTTATATAGACAGCTCAGGTGATGCATTAATGTTCTCCCTCCAAACTCTCAGATGCTCATATACTAATCCATCAATTCCACCTGATTTTCCATTTTTTTAGCTTCTTGCACACTGCCTCAACTTCATTAAGTGTGATATGACAGGGATCAGATGTGTCCGCGTTGCACAGTTTCCTTTATCTCAGAAACCTGACTTTTCGATGTTGCGTTTAAAACATTCATCAAAATGAGGCTTATCTGATGACTGAAAGACAGTAATGGCGTAACTGTAATCTGCCTGAGACTGTCATGTCTTGGGCTGATGTGAGGAGACTCCAACACGCTCTGCCATTGTCGAAGAGTGGTAACGGAGAGAGTAGAGCTGACGGAATGGTCTGTTGGATCTTGAGCCAACGGTCTTCTGGTACGACGATACGGGTTGTGATTCGCGGATAAATCGAATGCCTAGGAACTGCAGATCTTGGCGATGGTACTAGGTCCGACTTGAGTAAGTTTACTAACCATCCTAGCTGTGTTAGTAGCTTTATGATGTAGTTTAACTGTAGTTTGAGATGCTGTGGATCTTGATCTACTTGTATCCCGGCGTCGTCGGTAGAATGCACCGCGTAGCCCTAGACGATGTAGATAGGTGACAATAGGTTTCGTTATCCTCGTTAGAATAGCCAGGGGCTGATGATATGCCTTAATGGGAGTACTTTCCATTGGTAATGTAGCCCGGCCTAGTGTAAATCTTAGATATTTCCTGGATTCGGGATGTATCGGGATATGTAGATAAGCGCCTTGCAGATCTATACTGGCCATGTAATCCATGGGGCTTAATCAACTGTCAGAACTGGAGGAAGGTGTATCATGCTAAACTTTGATGGTTTATAGATAATTCCTGTTGAAAAGCTCATGTTGTAAATGAGTCTGTATTTCTCCTTGAGTTTTTCTTGGGTACTAGGAAAACTGGGAGTAGAAGCCTGGTTCGATGTCTACTTGATCTAGTACTTCTATGGCCTGCTTGGTTATGAGTGATGTAACCGCCTCTCTTAACTTTGGTAGTTGTTGTGCCTGTAAGTCGAACTTGTAAGGGTTGACTGTCAGCCGGAGGCGTGGCCTGTAGTGGGATAATTTTAAACTGCGTGTTGAAGAATGTTGGAGACATAAGGGTCTTTAACATTCCCCAGTTCTCCCAGTGTAGTTGGAGGCGCCCACCCACTTGTGACGGTTGTACTGGAACGGGCTGGGGTGGAAGACTCCAGTCGTTCCTAACCTGTCTTTCTCAGCGTTTATAGTTGCGGGAACCTCTGGGTGTCCTGCCTCTTCCTGACCCTCCTCTATAGTTGCCATATGGGCTTACTTTAAAGAATCTTTTCCTGGCGCTGGCTATCTTCCTATCCCGTGCTTTCTGTAGTCCCGAACTTAGGATCTCCTGAGTATCTTTGTGAAGTCTGCCTGATGACGCTTTAGCTAAGCGCAGTCCATCGACTTGATCATAAAGGACTTCTCTGGAGTCCTTAGTGACTTCCTTTGAGACTTTGTCTATTCCTCCGTCAAAAGATGTTTGGGGATGACCACGGGCTGTATAGAGTGGAGCTGTAAAGTTCTCACCCCAGCTGCAGGAAGCTTGGAGGAGGCCTTGACGACGAGCTAAGGTCAGTGCTGCTGAGACAGATGTGAGATGATCTGTAAGGAACTGCTGGTCCTTCTTTGCATCAGTAGGGCCGAGTAGATCATCCTATCATCTTCAGAGGAGGTCAGACTTACGGTAAATCTGGTGATAAGTGTCTCATTGATCGTTCTAGATCTATTTAGGCCAAAAGAACGCCTCGGCCATGTTTTCTATCTGCACCAGCTTGGCGATCGTCCAATCTTGTAGTTCTTGTTCTTAACATCGCTGATCAGCTTGTAGTTTCATCGATGTCTTGTGCCTTCAAGAAGGGTCCATGTTGTGCGTGGAGAACTTCTTAGTGTGAAAGTTCGGCAGATGTGGAGTCTGCACTTTCGTGAGTTTTAATGAAGGCTGTATCTAGATTATGTGGCACCGCAGCAATCGGGTCGATCGGAGGTAAGGTGATGGCGCCTGCATCGCCTCTTCCTTCATCAGGTATGTCTGCGCTTGAGTTGCCACTCTTGGACGGTGAAGATAAATCTAGGTTGTTTACCATCCAATATCTTATCTCAGCGCCTGAGAAGATGATGCCTCCATCATCTTCTGTACCAGCATCGGAGATGAGAGGTTGATGCTCTTCTGATGGTGACCTCTGGGCTGCTATCTCTATGTCGGGTGACACTCGGGAGACCTGGAGTGTAGACCTGTGTGCGCGACTTGTGTGATGACCCGCGCAGGTGATGTACGCGGAGATCGGGCGCAGTGAACGGGCGCGGGAGATCGCTCTTCTAGGTGATCTGGCGCCTATGGGAAAAACCTAGATCTGCGAGGAGAATGTTGACGGGCTTCTGAAGCTCTTGAATAGTCCCTCGACGCCCTTCTGGACGATGACGATCTGTGTGGACGGCCTTCGCAGCTTCCTCTGCGTCCCGGACCTGGGGAGCGGCTTTGACTTCCGTGGACGGCTTCCGTGGACGCCTGGTGGTCTGAGTCTGCATCTGAGGACGAGGCCGAGGATGATGACGATCTCTCCCGGCTTCGCTGGGAAGGCCTTCGCGACGACTGTACATCTGCGCCCTTCGAGGTGGTCTGTGACTTCCTCCTTCAAGGCTGCTTCGTCGGTGTGCTACGCTGACTGGGGTGCCTCTGGGGTATCGCTCTATGCTGCTCGGGCCCTGGGCTGGCTAAGCTTCCGACTGTAGTGGCCCTCCATCATGGTCATCAAGGATCTGCCGCAACAGCTCGCCTCTGGGATGGTCTGGCGACGGCGAAGTCGGTGCCCCTCTCTTGCGATGACAGCTGCTGACCCTCAGGGAAGTCGCCTGACATCAGTGTAGAGGCATCAGGCTGCATGGCTGATCTCTGCTGATGTCACTGCTAGCTGTCACCGGGTCAGCTTCTTGTGGCGACGTCCAGGGATGATGATCGGCTGATCATCGAGAGAGGCCCAGTTCGGGCGGCTGAACAATCTCGCTGAGAAAGTTCTTGACGACTGTAGACTTCCCTTTAGATGTCACGCGCTGCCCTGGGGTCCGAAGTCCGCTAGGGAAGACGCCGTGGCCCCTCTTGGAGTTTATCTGGCGATGACGGACGCCTGGGGAGGCAGGACGCTTCTTAGTGTTGGCGACTGCATCCCACTTCATCTTCGACGGAGTCTCTTTATGTCAAACACCAGACGGGAGGGGCTCCGCTTATCCATCGGCAGCTGACTGGAAGGGGAATCCATGTATCGCCATGTCTAACCCTTGTTTGCGGATCTATTCCGCGTACGCCTCACGCACGCAAAGATATTTATGAAAAGCAGAATTGATAGATTAATGCAGTAACTGCACGCGTATCAAACGCATGCAAGGCGCAGCACAACTAGGGCATAATACATGGTCAGCAATTGAAAACGTGAAATTGCAAATAGTACAGATTTTCATCAACGTAAATACTAGCTGAACAATCACGAACTCACGCGAATAAACAGTAGAAATACGATTAAATATCAATGCAAATTAATGAAGGATACTAGCTATACCTCTATAGTAACCTATAAGAGGTAATAAACCTAAGAAAACCAAAGGATATAGTGTGTAAGGAGACACAGGCGCTCTCACATCCTGCTCACTGGGCTTAAGAAGGAGAGAGTGAAGCATGAGGCCAGAGGGTGGCGACACCTGTTCCCGCCTAAAAGGGCAAGGGAGGCAACCTCGTGGTGAGTACCAATTAGTGATTTTACATTGAAGGGCTTCAATTAAGGAGATACAAGTGTTCCACTATGTTCGCAAGAAGAAGACAAGCAAAAGAGCATGAGTCAGGATAAGGAAAAAATATTTGTACTTTACTACTGAGAAAGTGTAACCCCACATATAACATATGTTACATTTGACCACTTTCTAAAAAGGCATTGTGTAATCAGGTGTATTAGTGTCAAACAGTATGGACGTGACACCAATGGCTCTACACTGATACTGTTTGTTTACACATGCTAGAATCAAGAGCAGCCTGACCTCACCTGTAACATGGCATTGCAGTAGGCATTGGGAATATGTGTTTCCAGACCAGCAAAGTGAGTTTTGTTGTAATGTCGGAAGTCGAAGTCTTCCAAACCAAGTTTAGAATACTTCATCTCGACCCGTCTGTATTTCTTTGGTACTGCGACAAATGGATCTTCACCTGAAAAGGAAGACAGCTTGATTGTAACCATAGTAACAGAAACATCAACAAAGAAACATTTTTTTTAAAATTTTATTTCTTTTTTGGGGGGTTCCTACCAGTGTATCCAGAGATCGATATTGTGTGCGAAAGTCCTTGTTATCTGGATGCAATGACACACACGCAGCGAATCACCAAGCTTGACCATATTGACCAACTGGGGATCACCTCTAGCCCTGTGTGTAAAGGTATGAACACTGGCACTTTGTCTATGGATTCAGAGTATTTATCTTAGACACACAATATTTGGAGTGAGTGAGGTGAGTGAGTGGTGAGCGTATGGGTGAGTGAGTGAGGAGTGAGTCAGTCAGTGAGAGTGAGTGAGTGAGTGTAAGTGAGAGTGAGAAAGGTGAGAGAGTGAGCGAGTGAGACAGATGGAGCAAGAGAGATTGTGTGAGTGAATGAGTGAGTGAGAGTGAGAGAGGTGAGAGAGTGAGCGAGTGAGATAGATTGAGCGAGAGAGAGTGTGTGTGAGTGAGTGCGTGAGTGAGTGATCGATCTTGGAATGATTGGAAAACACTAAGTCTATAACCATTAACCTATCCCACCACCTAATATTTTGATAACGGAGGACATTGACGTAACTGTGGCTCACTAACCTCTCCCAAGAGGTGACTCTGGAACACTGGACTTGCGACTGTGAGTTGTTCCCCCTGTTGTTTGCATGTGCACTTCCTTCGGCAGCTTGTAGGGTATCTGGTTCCTGCGCTCCTTCCCCGAATTGGGAGCATAGCCAACATTGTGATAGACTTTCATTGTACGAAGGATCTCTGGGTCTATAGGCTTAGGCTTCCTGAAATTTGATTTCAGATTCATTACACGTACTGCCTTATATCAGTGTATGAAATAAGGTCCGTCCGACCGTCCGAGATGGGCTAGATTTCTGACGGACGGGCTTATTTTACGGCTAGCCAGCCCGGTGGTCTGGTAAAATCTGAGTAAATTCACCATTTCTTGGTGTCTGGTCTGGTTAAATCCATTTTGGGCTGTTAACATTTTGAAGTTTCCAGCTCTGATGTCAGGCTGGGTTTGGGGTTATTTCATACGCTGCTTACATGTACAGGGAAACAATGTTACAAAACAAATAAATCATATTCTGGTGTAAGGTGCTCAATCATTTTGATTGTTTGCATGTTGTTTTACGACACATCCAGCAGTATTCCAGCTATATTCAAGCCTTTCGAAAATAATTGAGTCTAGACAAGACAATCCAGTCACTGACATCACAAGTATCAATCTATGCAATTAAAACACGATGACAGGCATCAACCAAGTCTGTGAGTATGACTACCCAGGGCTCGATTTAAGAGATGTTAACCTACTTGCGTCAGGTGCAACCTAACATAAAAATCTAGTTGCACCAGCCAAATTCCAATGGCACTGCTTATATTGCAATTTGTTATAAAAGAAATATGCTATTGAATTATTTAGATGTTTTATTTAGAAGTTTACCCACACAAAAGTTGACTTGCACCTGGTGCAAGTTAGACTAATAACTAGGTTGCACTTTGTAATATTTGATTGTACTAGTGCAAGTAACAAAGCGCTAAATCGAGCCCTGCTACCTAATCGAGAACCTTTGGAACCACAGACTTTAAGGGTCACTCATTTAAGGATAGTGAAAATGTGTAAAGAACATTCCATTTTGAACTTAAAAAATACATGTGTTAAGAGTGAACAACTGATCAGACTCTATGACCAATTCATTTTGTGTACCTGTTTTTCATTATTATATGAGCCTATGGCTAAGAATTTTATTCAGAATATGTCCTGTTGAAGGATATACAAATTCTAAGAACATGTTGGGTCTGTGAGCGATTTGACTTACCGATATTTCCTGGCTGACAAGTTTGTCTGCCAATCAGACAGTAGCTGACCAGATGGAGGATACACCATGGGTACCATGGATACGGGAGCCAGCTCATCGTTGATGTGGATGCTCTGAACAGGCTCAACCTATACACATGGAAATCATTTATTTGTTGTCTAATGCTGTTTCACCCAGGGCTATACTCTGTCACAATTCTCCTCAGTCACAACCCTCCTCAGTCACAACCAGTCTCAGTCACAACCAGTCTCAGTCACTACCAGTCTCAGTCACAACCCATCTCAGTCACAACCAGTCTCTGTCACAACCAGTCTCAGTCACAACCAGTCTCAGTCACAACCAGTCTCAGTCACAACCAGTCTCAGTCACTACCAGTCTCAGTCACAACCCATCTCAGTCACAACATTCCTCAGTCACTACCAGTCTCAGTCACAACCAGTCTCAGTCACAACCCGTCTCAGTCACTACCAGTCTCAGTCACAACCAGTCTCAGTCACAACCCTCCTCAGTCACAACCAGTCTCAGTCACAACCAGTCTCAGTCACAACCAGTCTCAGTCACAACCAGTCTCAGTCACAACTAGTCTCAGTCACAACCAGTCTCAGTGACAACCATCTCAGTGACAACCAGTTCTCTGTCACAACCCATCTCTAGTCACAACCAGTCTCTGACAACCTATTCTCTAGTCTCTCAAACCCATCTCAGTCACAACAAGTCCATTCTCTCTGTCACAACCTCTATCTCTCAGTCACAACCAGTCTCTGTCACAACCAGTCTCAGTCACAACTCTATCTCAGTCACAACCAGTCTCAGTCACAACCAGTCTCAGTCACAACCAGTCTCAGTCACAACCAGTCTCAGTCACAACCCATCTCAGTCACAACCAGTCTCAGTCACAACCCATCTTAGTCACAACCAGTCTCAGTCACAACCAGTCTCAGTCACAACCAGTCTCAATCACAACCAGTCTCAGTCACAACCCATCTCAGTCACAACCAGTCTCAGTCACAACCAGTCTCTGTGACAACCAGTCTCTGTCACAACCCATCTCAGTCACAACCAGTCTCTGTCACAACCCATCTCAGTCACAACCAGTCTCTGTCACAAGCAGTCTCAGTGACAAACCATCTCAGTGACTACCAGTCTCAGTGACAACCCATCTCAGTGACAACCAGTCTCAGTCACAACCAGTCTCAGTCACAACCAGTCTCAGTCACAACCCATCTCAGTCACAACCAGTCTCAGTCACAACCTATCTCAGTCACAACCAGTCTCAGTGACAACCCATCTCAGTCACAACCTATCTCAGTCACAACCAGTCTCAGTGACAACCCATCTCAGTCACAACCAGTCTCTGTCACAAGCAGTCTCAGTGACAACCAGTCTCAGTGACAACCATTCTCTGTCACAACCAGTCTCTGTCACTACCAGTCTCAGTGACAACCAGTCTCAGTGACAACCCGTCTCAGTGACAACCCATCTCAGTCACAACCCATCTCAGTCACAACCCATCTCAGTGACAACCATTCTCTGTCACAACCAGCCTCTGTCAAAACCAGTCTCAGTCACAACCAGTCTCAGTGACAACCTATCTCAGTCACAACCAGTCTCAGTCACAACCAGTCTCAGTGACAACCAGTCTCAGTGACAACCATTCTCTGTCACAACCAATCTCTGTCACAACCAGTCTCTGTCACAACCAGTCTCTGTCACAACCAGTCTCAGTCACTACCAGTCTCAGTGACAACCCATCTCAGTCACAACCCATCTCAGTCACAACCAGTCTCAGTGACAACCATTCTCTGTCACAACCAGTCTTTGTCACAACCAGTCTCAGTCACAACCTATCTCAGTCACAACCAGTCTCAGTGACAACCCATCTCAGTCACAACCCATCTCAGTCACAACCCATCTCAGTCACAACCTATCTCAGTCACAACCAGTCTCAGTCACAACCAGTCTCTGTCACAACCATTCTCTGTCACAACCCATCTCAGTCACAACCAGTCTCTGTCACAACCAGTCTCAGTCACAACCAGTCTCTGTCACAACCAGTCTCAGTGACAACCCATCTCAGTGACAACCAGTCTCAGTGACAACCAGTCTCTGTCACAACCAGTCTCAGTGACAACCATTCTCTGTCACAACCAGTCTCAGTGACAACCAGTCGCAGTCACAACCAGTCTCAGTCACAACCAGTCTCAGTCACAAGCAGTCTCAGTGACAACCTATCTCAGTCACAACCAGTCTCAGTCACAACCAGTCTCAGTGACAACCAGTCGCAGTCACAACCCGTCACAGTAACAACCAGTCTCAGTCACAACCTATCTCAGTCAAAACCCGTCTCAGTCACAACCAGTCTCAGTCACAACCCATCGCAGTCACAACCAGTCTCAGTCACAACCAGTCTCAGTCACAACCCGTCTCAGTCACAACCAGTCTCAGTCACAACCTATCTCAGTCACAACCCATCTCAGTCACAACCAGTCTCTGTCCCAACCTATCTCAGTCACAACCCATCTCAGTCACAACCATCACAGTCACAAGCAGTTTCAGTAACAATCCACTCCCCTTCACAACCCACCTTGGTCACAAGGAGTCTTTTTCACACTGAATCAGTCCCAATACAGCTTACTTACAAAACAACTCATTAAATTTGGCAATTTGGGCTGATATTTGCTGCAGATCTGTGGCGAAATCTTGGTCTCTGAGCATGTCTAGGAAAACCCTTGAACTACATTCCATCATTTGTACAACAGATGGACATTGAACTGAAACCACACTCAGACAAGGGAGATAATCAAGTACTTACGGGATCAGGAAATTCTGTAGGTTGTGAGTAGGCGTTGAAGGTGGGATGGTCCCTGTTTGTATACAGATGAATGTACCCTGAAACAGTGGTATCCATGAATATTTCCACCTTGGTAACAATGGTAACCTCTTAAAACTACCTTGGGTCCAGATGTTCTTAACAATCAAAATAATATTAATGTTTCAGTCATCAAAAGCCCAAAGCAGCCTGATGTCCAAATAAGCACGACATAAAGTAAGACAGCTTGCTACTTACCAGATGAGTCTCCAAATGAAAGGACGTTACATGTGGAGGAGATATCGAAGCTGGTGAGTACAGCACCACCTGTATTAACCTGGTAGAACATGCTGGCGTTGGACATGGTGTTGTTTGGGTCAACAAGCTGGAAGTGACCGACTTGTGACACCACAGCTAGCTTGTTGGAATAGTTGGGGATGAAGCGGAGAAACGTGGGGTCGAATGACACCTGTATGGGGGCAACTGCTCGCATCACTCTCATGTCATACACCTTGAGGAATCGGTCAGCCTGGAGGTTACCCATCCTGAAATACAGACGGCATGGGTTAGGAATATTTGTGGAAATGTAGGGTTGAGCAACACCTGAATGGGAGCCACTGTTTGCATCTTTGCATGCATATACCACAAGGAACCAGTCAGACTGGAGACAGCCATCTTGAAATACTGACGACACACCAAAGGAGTATTTATAGAAACGTGGGGTCAAATGATTCCTGTATCAGAGCTCACATCATTGCATGTATAGTTCGGTTCATAATTATTGAGAATTTTTCATGTCAGTTTGAACTCCTAGGTTTTTTCATGAGCTCCACTGATGATGAAATTCTGCTGTCAGTCCAAGGGAGGCAACTCTTCTTGTCTTTCTAGACATGTCAGATTAGAGTTACCTCCCCTGAAATTTAAGCAGACGACATTTTCCAAAACAATGTCCAAAATGGCTGCTGATGAGAAAAGAAGGTACAACACAGGTAAGGAGTATTCATAGACAGGAGACACACCATAGTCTTCAAAGCAGTAACGTTTCTCAATACTTATGTGAAAGTGCCATTAGGGTGAGTGAAACTGTCGTGATACTAGCAAACACAAAGTCATGGAAACAGCCTGTTTGGCCTTAAACTGAAGTGTATCATTTGTGTGAACATATCTTTCTTGTGTGTACCTGTTTGAGAAGCCACAGGTGACAAGGAGGTGATCATGGAGATCAAAGTCTGACAGGGTCCCGGAGTGAGCTTCCAACACATGCTCAGCCTTCATTGACTGGGGGTCATACAAGGTCACCTGCAATGAAATGGTCAAAGTAACATGCTGTACTTGACAGTAAAGGCCGAGTATAGTCCGTATCCATCCATCTGTTATGACCAGAGTTGTGTCCCCTTCTTCTGATAACATACTGTTCTCAAATCTGCATGACTACACCTATTTAGGACATACTGCCCATCATATATATTTGATGAAACAGTGTTTCCGCTGATTTAATTATTTATCGGACACTGTGTCTGGCGACCTAAAATTTTACTGGTCATGAATGAAATTTGCCGGTCATATCCTATTACCATACTGTAAGTACTCATTTTAAAGTTATTTCTAGCCTGGGTATTTCCAAAACATAACAATTTTTGCGACCATGAAAGCACAGCCAAGATTGTCATTTTGCTTACCCATGATTTTTTTTATTTTAATGCATGATTATTTACCGGGCACAGTGTCCAGCTGGCTTTCAATTTACCGGTCCCTAACAAATTTTTCCGGCGATTTTCAGGTATATCCGGAGAACGGAAACAATGTATATTTAACTACTCTTCTATCTAACTGACAAAAACATGCTGCCCTACCTATCAACCTAAAAACACTCATCAATAAACTAACTCTTATATCAACCCTACCTCTAATGCTTATGAATATGACTTTATTACGGTTAATAATTTGCCGTGACAAAAGGTTTAAAAGTCCCCTTTGAACCAGCAAAATAGAACACAGACAAGTCTAAGATATTCAATATTATATTGAAAAAACAGTGAGCAAACTACAATGAAAGACAATACAGATTTCTAGTACAATGTAATTGAGTCACAAATCTAAAATATTGGGTTACAAATATTAGATATTAACTCACCAGAGTCTTGACATTCACAGTGAGAGCAGATATACTGAATGAAGGTTGTTTACAATGACAACAGTTGAATATAGACAAACACGGTCAGTCTTGAAATGTAGGTCAGCTAGACAATGACAGACAGATGTGTATAACTCCAGTGATGTGATAAGTCACATGTCGCACAATGCAAGAACCAGCCTTGCTATAGCTCTTACACAGTTCTCGAGCATTCTAGTAAAGATAGGCTGTATCATTATCCACTCAGAACTTTATAGAAATCTGTTGAAATCTGTGGAAAACTCCACAACATGATGAAAGCCGTAAATAAACTGGATTGCCAAGGGAGGCCACTCTGAAGCACTGTCAAAAAGGCGTGCCACTAAAATTATTATTGCCATTAAACTTATGATGCGAGATGTGACCCACAACCCACACTCAAAACTTTAAACATTGTGACCCATAATAACTATCATCTAATCAATGATAATACAAATTACAAAAAACACACTCTCATAACAACTTCAACCCATAATAAACACACTACCACACCCACAACTCACCCGTCCGCTAGTGTCCCCAGCACAGATGTATTTGCTGGAGTGACGGAAGATGGCACATCCAGGCTCCTTCACTTCAAACTGACAACAACAAAAATCACAACATTACATAACTTTTATTCTTTTCACAACACACTTATATTTTTCTAGAATTTCTCTTCTTTATAAAAGCGAATTCACTTTAAGAATTTCAGAAATAACTTCTGCAAATACCCTGGTTAAAAAACAAAAAGGATTCCTATGAAAGTCAACACCTTTTGGTCACCTATCAGTATCCCACCACTGTTCTATTAATCTGTTTCAAACACTACACAGGTTCCATGGATCATCTGCTCAGAGTGAATATTGCTTAATGTCCCATCATCAATTTTGCAGCTATTCACAGATTCACATCTGTGCAGAGAGCAATTCACAGATTCACATCTGTGCAGAGAGCAATGACATTACCAAAAGATGTTAAAACATCTTCTCTGGCTAGTGGTATAACATGATGCTATGTGAGAGCAATAACACTGAAGCCCTTTGAAATCCCATTTCAGATATTCGTTAACATTACCTGGTTGACTTCTATGCCCTTGTTGAGGTCGACCTCAATGACCTTGGTCTGGTGTCCCCCCATGAGCACAGAGTGAGGTCCGGTAGCCATCATACACTGCATGTCCTGAAGATTCCCATCACCTCTGTCAAACACAAGTCACAACACATATGACAAGTTACCACAGTCCAGTACACACAGAACATGTTAGCAGGGGTACAGTATCATAAATTACCATAATTCTTGTGTCATGTGTCCAGATATATTGTGATTTGTGTTAAATATGCAATCAAAACCACCATAACTGGTGTGCGCGGGAGCAAGCTGGCTGAGGCGCCAGGCTAGTGGTTGGCGAGCTGGCTGAGGCGCCAGGCAACTGATCCAGCAAGGGTGAGGTGTCGGGATCGAGCCCATCTGTGACCGGGTGTAAAAACCTTGGAGTCAATTTTGTGTGCAGACTCTTTCAGTGTTGTCACAACCCCTAGTGTACAGTACACAACCCTGTGCACTTAAAAGATCCCCCGAATCCATTGGTATATGACCAGATGGTGGCCACATGAATACGTGCAAACACCTAGTTGCGGGTACAGCAACGTGCAGTGAACTATGTGTCCTAGTCCACCCAGCTGTGAATGGGTACCTCGTTAGGATGAGAAAGCTACAATAACCTGGTGCTCCTTGTGGCAGCAAGAGTTGTACACTCCCCAGGGAGTTGAGATTGATAATACGATATGTGCCGTTGAGATTGACATCCAATGATCGAGGGAAAAAATACCAGCGCCTTGAGCATGCCCTAGTTGCATGGATATGTGCGCTATATAAATATCCTATAATGATGTAATAAAATAATAACCCAATCAGTTTTGAGTTCTTTGAGTCCATATCAATATATCAACAAAGAAATTTGCTTACCCAGTAGCATAACAACACAGTGTAATTACTCATTGCAAATTTTCAGATTGAGAGTGCCACCAATAAACAATTGTATGGACTGCCAAAATCATTTGAATCATTTGAGCTGGTCAAATGTATCACATTTTCAATTAAATGAATCATTTTAAGTCTTATTTATATCCAAGCCAGTTCTTCATCATTCTCAACTCCACCTGAAGTCTGTGACTTACATGTAGTTCATGATGGAGAAGCCCCGACGCACTGACAGCCGCATGCTGTTCTTGGTGAGAGACAGGATGCCGTTCTCCATGGTCAGTATCTGGCGTATGTCATTGGTTGCGTGGACGTGGAACGAGGTGTATTTCTGCATGTCGGACCCATAATACGAGGTCACATGGCCCTGTAAAGAGCAACAGAAACACTTAAACATGAGACAGTAAGTATTGGACTAAGGATAACTGAATGTTCTTTTGCATTAGCAGTTACCATGGTTACAAGGATAGCCATCTGTAAATAATCAGGCCACGAACAACAAGGAGAGTTCTATGGATCTAGAACCTCTTTATTGTTGATATGAATGATGTTTTGGTGTAGCTACTAACACCGTTCTCAAGCAAGTGATCATCGTTATCAAGCAAGTGATCATCACTTGCTTGATAACGGTGTTATAGTCGGTTGGCTAAAAATCGGACCGATGAAATGCTAACTCGAAAACTACTAAACATATAGTACTCAATGAAACACTGATCATAATCAAAACATCAGACCAACTCTGTGATTTTTTTTTTCAGAAATTATGTCCTAAAAATAAAAAAGTTGTTTAACAAACTATCATTAAAATCTTGATACAGGTCACTATTTGTTACAAGGGAGGGGTGCAAAGAGAGGAACAGGCAGGTGTGCAAGAAAGGTTAATGAATCAATGACTTTGTCGGCACTTGTGCATGTGCCTCGGGTACACCTGGCTGCAATTCATGGGTCCGATATTGAGCCACACAGACTATAGTAGCTACACCTAAACGTCGCTCATATTAATAATGAAGAAGTTGTATATCCATAGAACTCTCCTCGTTGTTCATCACACCAACTTCTAAATGCCACTCAAAGAAGTTAATGAGGCCAACATTTGGCAGAGGTGTGAGTTATTTCCGGGATACCATTATTTTAAATAGTAACAAGTACCTTATACAAGGTGTCACTTTTTAGACTGCAATACATGGTATATATCTCAATACTTTTAGAAAACATTGGTAAATTGTATTTTACAAAATCATTACCATTTTTATCTTGTAGGCAAAGTTTACAAAAGAGACATGTTATTGAATTTTGAAACAAGCAACTGATTTGTGTGATGAATGAATGAATGAATGAATGAATTTGATCACCAGCAGCCCACGCTTATCGTAAGAGGTGCATTTCTGTCCCAGAGTCTCCATGGACCAGATTGTGACAAACCATGCTTTAACAAAATGAAAAGAACAAAATCAAACTTACACTCTGTGTCCCTGCCCAAAGTAGTTCTTGTGTGTCGAAGGTCATGCACGAGACCCCATACGGACTGCCCCCATCCATGAACACACTATGATGGTGAGTGTACTCCGACCTCTCTCCACCAGGGTGGGGGTACATGTGTTCCATGTTGTCCTGGTAACCTTCACCCCCCATCATGTTTGGGTTCATGGAAGGGGGAGGGATTATCTCCCCTTGTATTCCATCTGGCCGAGGGAATGAGGGTGGCATGCCAGGAAACTCCATGATTGATGCCTTCCACCTCCTTTACATGTATCTCTGAATGATCCTAGTATATCTGAAACAGTTAATCAGACCCATCATTAGGTTGAGAAAATATGTAGATCCTCAGGAGCAACCATTCTTAAATGAAGCACAATCTGGTAGGGTTGACTGAAATAATTTGATAATCCGAAATATTGTTGATGGGAAGAATTAACGATTATCAATCTGAAAACTGATTCATCAATAATAGGGCTGCGTAATAAAACCGGTTTACCGGTATTTACCGGTTCAGACATGAAAACGATACGTATTGCGATACCCTGATCGAAAACCGGTATTTTGACATGCATTTGGAAAACTTCGTAACACTCGGAAATCTTCGGATATTTCCGTTTTTTTAATTGTTCTTTTCCCTGTTTCATAAGGGCCAAATGTTACTTAGATATTTATTTTGTCATGATTAAAAGTTTTTATAAAAGGTTAATCAATCATAGTGATTTTGTTGTGTTTTTGCTTTATAATCAATCATTAACTCGATTATAAGTAGTTTTGTTAAAAAAATAATCCTTGCAATATATTGCAATACATATCGCAATATATGTTTCCGCATCGCAATATATCGCAATATGAAAATTCTCTGCAATACCCACCCCTAATCAATAATACCTAAAATAAACGTTTCCAAGGAAATTCAATTATAATTTACACACACAAAACACAGAGTTATGTCATTCATGGGATGCTTCTAACATGTTAAGAATGGTGTTTTTATTAGGAATTCATACATAAATGTGTCACCACTAATCAGTAACATGAAACATGGTTATTTTAAAAAAAATAATTAATGATTGTTTAAAGTTACCACTTTGATATTTATTGATAATCGATCAATATTTCAAAAATGAATATTGATCTCAGTGATATATATCGATAACCAGCCCTACCTTGTGGCTTCTCAGGATAAATATTACACATGCTGTAATATGCAGGGGGGGTGTTAATGAAACTGTACACAAAAAATTAAATTTGTTTTTAGAGATCAAGTAATAGTGAACAAACTCAATTCAAATGTTAACAAGAGTCATCAGGGGATGCTATATCCACCATGTCTGCTGCAGTTGGGAAATAGTCTGGCTATTCATACCCAAGTTTAGGTACCCTGCCTTTGACTGACTGACTGACTGAGTTTGGTTTTACGCCGCTTTTAGCAATATTCCAGCAACATCACGGCGGGGGACACCAGAAATGGGCTTCACACATTGTACCCATGTGGGGATTCGAACCCGGGTCTTCGGCATGACGAGCCAACGCTTTAACCATTAGACTACCCCACAGCCCCCCCTGCCTTTGAAAAGTTGTTGCACAGTGTTTTTCAGCATCCCAAATTATCTAAAGGCATCAGTTTCCAACTAGACAGTAATCTTCATACCAAGTTTAATTAAGAAAAAGAAACATTCAACAACATTTAAGTTCTACTCTGGAAAAGAACACTTCTTTCATTTTTCAGTTGTCAAACTTGATGCCGTGAAAAGATAAAAATGTATCAAGTTCAACACATTAAAGTTCAACATTTGCCTTAGGTTGAAGCTGGCAACACCATGAGAAAAGCAAGATTTATGGATGTGAACTTCTTTAATGTTTCGAATTGTATGATTGGTCTTTCATCAGGTGAATCTTAAGCATTCCACTTCTAAATGCACTTCAAAGGTAATACCAGTTTGCTCTTCGATGTTGTTCAGTAATAATGCAAAGCAAGAAAGCAGTTTTCAGTGAAGTCAGAGCCACAATGGAGCCAACGTTAACGACCCGATATGAATGATACAATAAAAAATAGAAGGTTTTGTTCCAAAATGATCTTAGCATTTAGATAACACCAACTAACATATGTTACGATAGGCGTGGTGCTAAGATAGCTTTGTACAACGGGACCCTGTCGTGTTGCCAATGTTGACGGCATTGGCTGCACAAGCATGACATCGTAATTATTGTTATGATGTCAAAATGAATATAGATTGTCGGAAATACAAAGAATCGTGGAGCAAGCTGAGTAATGATGAATCATGAAACGGCTATAACGAAGTCACGTGTGAGAACTCTTTTCAGTAGATATATCTTTGTTTAACCTCTTGCCAATGTTTTAAGAACTTTAACTTACTCCCGGGCGATCTCAATGTCGATTGTCTGAAGTATTCGTCCAGACGTCGGGAGAAAAACACGATCAAGAGCAAAACAAGAACATTAAAACGTCACCATCACCATTTGCAATACATTAGAGTGTATAAAGTACTAAATAGTGTGATTCTTACCAATATTTGCATTTGGGCACACAAACACAAACACGATTCTGGATTACGTCCCTTTATATCGGGTTGATCAAAATGTAGTAGTGGAGTATAATAATGTTAAGAGGAACATCGTTTAGTTTGTAGTTATCCCAATCGTGTTGATAATCCCTTAAATCACTTTCACATCATCATGACAACTTATGTCGATATTATACCGCGTATTGTGATCAATGTTGAACGAAATGTTACACTCTTGAACTCTTCGTTTCGCTTACATACATTTTCGTATTACCCTATGATCGTATACGCTACAAAAAAAAGTCTGATCCCAGGAAGATTATACGTGAGTGTTTGAGCAAGAACACTGTGGTTGAAAATGTAGGTTAATAAATCCTAATGTTACCCCCGGGATGTTTGTCCCTATTAAGTTGAACATCCCATTAGTTGTGTTGTTGTCGATAGGCCAAGGGAGGCAACTCTGTCCAACCAACTGCGAGTTGAGAGTTGAGCAGCCACCAGTCACCAAGCTCTTTCCCTCACGTCAAGACTATCTACCGAGTGTCTCTGTCTGACTTATCTTATGGTTAGAGTTTTAATCTACAGTAGTTTGTTCGAATTACCAGTAATTTGTGCAAATGGTTTGCTTGTCAGGTTTCCGTTTAAAAACCCGTGGACGACAGTGAATGTTTTTTCGAAACTTGATGTCAGCTAACCTGTTGATCAAAAATCAATAATTAAATTTCATGTGACGAAGGGACTGAAATTTAAATGTTGAATATATTTGCCTGCAAAACGTGAAAATCCTCAAATGAGACTAATGGACAATTTCGCGAATAAGGAGCCTATATAACTATAACATGAGTGTCCAGATGAATGAAATTCACTTATCAGAAACACTAAATGGAACTATGTTATGGACACAGTGTCACTCTGCTCGCCTCTGGTTTGTATGACCCGTCCCTGGCCAGTGTTTGCAATACTTTAATTTGCCAGTTGGCCATCAGGACCTACTGCCTCCTGCAAGCTTTAAAATCTACAGGCCCTGAATGGAATCTGCAGGCCCATTTTGTTAAAGTCAAACCAGTAAAAACAAAATAGACTACACTGTACACAGTTTCGCACTGTTTCTACAAAATCAGTTAGCGAAGCCTATGGCACACAGAGAAGTTTTTATTTGTTAAGACTGGTGTTGACACACCAGCAAAGCGCTGAAATACTAAGAAGTGAAACTGTAAGTTATCGTAACATGATGGATCATGGATGATTCTCGAACGTTAATAATGAAAAAAATATAGGAATGATTCCAGTTGAAAAATAACCCTGACAGATAATTTACTGGAGGCCATAAGGGCCTGCAGATATTTGAAACTGCCGGCCCGATACAATTACAACCGGCGCTTGTCTCCAGGCCGGCGGTTATTTTGAACACTGTTCCTGGCCCTGACATAATCTATGATTTGCATTTTTGTTCGTGGTGTGGGGTAGTGGGCTAGCCTAATGGTTAAAGTGTCCGATCGTCACGCTGAAAACACGGGTTCGATTTACCGCATGGGTACAATATGTGAAGCCCATTTCTGGTGTCCCCAGCTGTGATATTTCTGGAATATTGCTAAAAGCGGCGTAAAACCATACTCACTGACGCACTCACTGTTGTTGGTGTTCAACCAACCACTCAGCAGTTATTCTTGCTATGTGTCAGCAGTCAGTAAATAATCAAGTCTTGATCAGACAATCCAGTGGCTGACATAATGAACATCAATCTATACAATTGGAATACAATGACATGCATCAACCTAGTGAGCAAGCCTCAACACCCGCATTAAGATTCCATAGAAAACAATCTATGGGTCTGTCATCAAGTTAGTGGGTCTATCATGACCAAAATATTCATTGCTCCCAACTTCCAGATGCATAAGGGCGGTGGGATAGATTCGCGGTTAAAGCGTTCGCTCGTCATGCCGAAGATCCAGGTTTGAATCCCCACATGGGTACAATGTGTGAAGCCCATTTCTGGTGCCCCTGCTCTGATATTGCTGGAATATTGCTAAAAGCGGCGTAAAACCATACTCACTCCAGAAGCAGAACATCCTATTCAGGTGAATTTATCTTAAATGGTCTGTCCTCAATTGTGAGGGACTGCCATAAATTCATTTAAGGCAACTAACTGTCTAACTTACCATGACGTGTGATTCACATCAGTTTACACTTTCACTTAATCTATTTTCCAGCACTGGTCATTACGATGGAACCTGTAGTAGACATCTCCATGGAAACAATCTCCGAGGCCATCATCAGTGGTGTGAGTGATGTTGATGTCATGGCAACCTTCCACAGCAGTGGCATGTCACTGGAAGATCTCACAAAATGGAGGCATCCACTTCTGTCCGTCAACATGTTCCAAATTGCCATCTTGTATAAACGAGCTGATCTTGTCCAGTCTCTAGGAACGATTTGCCCTTTCTTCTTGTCTGACAGATCCTTGTATAAGGAACAGATTGTACCTGATACTAATGAAACCTTGTGTGTCTGCAGCAGAGGCCAAATATCTGAGGATTCAGATGTACAGGACTCTGGAGATTCATCCAGGCAGGTGCCCAATACAGCCGTAGAAGCGTGTCAAGGTGAGGCTTCAAGGTCAACTCAAGGACAGATACCAAACACATCCTCATCAGTTGCAGATGCCTCTATTCAGTTGGTATTGGTCTCAACAGATGAACAGATACCAAACACATCCCCAGGAGCTGGAAGCTCCAGCCCTCCTGAAAAGTCAGATAGTACCAAAGAAGATACATCCTCTGATCAAGACGGCGGCAATGCTGTGATCTTAAACCCACCACTACATCTGGCATGCATGGTGGGTTGTATTGGTAGTATCAAATATCTGTTAGAAAAACCTAGTTCCTTTTCACTGAATGAAGTTGCCAATGTGTCTATAGCTGTAAGAGATGGGGAATCCGAGACTGCCAATAAATACTATACCTTGCCCATGACGGAGAGCAGGAGAGGGAAGCCATTTGAGTTTTGTGTTTCTGGTGGACATGTTGATTTTGCCTTTTATTTTTTGAATAACATCATCATTCAGTGCCTAGCTCTGAGGTTTCTGTATGCTGGTGTGCGAGAACCCTCCTCCATGCTCCACAAGGCATGTTCTATAGGATGTGGACCTCTGGTCGACTTGCTTCTGAAGAACTCATTTCGCGACGTCATAAGCCTTAGTGATAAGAACGGCAAGACGCCACTTCATGTGGCAGTATGGAACGGAGATACTGACACAATCCACCACCTTCTAGAATGTGGAGCATCAGTCAATGCTCTTACAGAATCTAAAGGTTGTCTCCACATCCTATACAGATCCAAACTCCACCCATACAACTACATTGCAAACACAAAGCTGCTGATACAGTTTGGCATCAATGTACACATCACAGACAAAAACGGTAAGTCTGCGCTTCATATTCTGGCTGAGGAAATTGGCATCAGTCGAACTGACGTGATGCGGTACTGGAAGAAGGCATCCAATGCTATCAGAGAAATGACTTCCTCAAAGTCCAACACCATAGGAGATAATTACTCCATGAGCACCTACCAAAGTGATCTCATCACATGTCTAGAGCTGCTTCTGGAAAAGGGCATGAACCCAAACAAAGTGACGACCAAGTCAGCATTCAATGAAACAGTCTTGGAAGTCCTACTGCAATACAGCTCCCTTCCATACACCCAAACCACACTCTGGAACAGTCCACAGATTGTATACAGGGCAGTGGAGCTGTTGCTGTCCCACGGCACCAACCCCAATTTGCCAAGTCGATGCTCAGACCTGCCAATCTTCACCTACTTCATCATGAACCATCTCAATGATATACCGGTAGGAGATAAGAAAATGAAACACAAATTTATCCACCTGTTTAGTTTGTATGGTGCCAACTTTGACCATCCAGCTATGAATGGGTGTTACCCATTGGTGGCAGCTGTGGAGAAACAGACATGTCAGAATGTGCTGGAGCTGATTGGCTGTTTGATGGACATGGAGCATCTTCATCACGCCATGATGACCGTCCAGCAGCGGTTCCTGCCTCCTCTCATATATTCCAACAAGCTGAAGGAAGTAGAATTTGCATATGGTGTTGTGGAACTGTTTGAAAAGCTAAGGATAAGATCACTAAGACATCTTTGTAAAGTTACTATCTTGAAACAACTTACATGTGCAGCTCGTGATGTTGAACAACTTCCTTTGCCCAATTACCTCAAGAGTTATATCACTACTGCCTCATTCTAAACCTGTAAAAGTCAGGGTGCTGTTGTACAAACAGAGATGCCAACCCTTACGCTTTAGGCGTAATTATTACGATTTTGACCATTAAATTACGCCATTACACTGAATCTGCGAAAATTACGCTTTTCTACTCGTTTTACGAAAATCAATAAAGTGGATAGATTTTCACAGGGAAGTGTTTTGTAACGCACAGGTGCAGGGGTGCAGAAATAGCTTTGCACCGATAGGAATCGCTTACTCTTAGCATCGCACTCATTCCAATTAACTTGCAAGGAATTAAAGTATTTTGAGTCACATGACCAACAATTTTCGATGTATGGAGCTTCATTGTGATTGGTCACATGTGTTTCTGCCCAGAATCTTGCTTTCGTGATAACGTGTACCATGTTGAAGCGATCGGTAGACACGTATTACACTTTTTAGGTCCAAATTACAGTTTCTGACCTCTAGTATTACACTTAGGCCCAAAATAGGGTTGGCATCTCTGTACAGAGCAGACTTAGTGCTTCAAAAAATGTAAGTCTCTGTTAAGGTATGTGAGTTCACCTCAGTGCTAAGATCGCTTTGTACAACAGCATCTAAATAGTAATCATATACTGAGGGGGAAAAGTAAGGGATCACATCCAAGCACAAGTGTTCCTTTATTTTTTTTCCAAGGTTTCATCTAGGGGTGTCACGATTCGGTTCGGTTCATCGAAAATCGAATCGATAGATGTACGATTCGATCTCGATTTCAAATGCATCAATTTCGAAATCATTTCATAAAGTACTTACTTTCTAATACTGAGAGTTTATTTCACCTGAAATCGTAAGAAATTATGTTGAAAATTCGCTGCTACAAGTGTTGCCAGTGAGAGGGTATTGTAAGTGCCCAGAGGGCATGTCTTTCAAGTGAAAATTCCTTGCACAGAACATGATCATTCCAAATGACTTACAGTGACATTACAGTCACAATGAACACTTGACACCAGAGTTCGTGACTGAAACTTAATGTTATGATCACTTGTTCAGTGAGTATTTGTTGACAACTTGTCTTGACAGTGTTCTAATTGTGCATTGTGCAAATTTTCCAAAGTTTGCCAAATTAAACTGATATTACAACAAATTTGACTTTGTCCTCAGCTTTGGTGAATCGAATCGAAATAAATCGAATCGAGCGAATTGAATTGATAATCGTACCGAATCGAAGTGAGAGTGAATCGTGACACCCCTAGCTTCGTCACAAGATTTTTATCACATAGCTTGTGAAGAAACATGGGAAAAAATAAAGGAATATTATTATATATTATGACTTTCTTTAGATAATATTCAAAGACACTCTTGAGATTAGTTACAACAAACAATAACACTGTGCAATTTCTTGAAGGAACAGTTGGTTTTGAGGCAATTTGCTATAATTTTGTAAGAATTGCCCTCAAATTGATAGATGAAGGGAACCGTATGTTTGAGGCGCCATCATTTGCTGTGCAGAGTTGCATCCTTTGATTATACCAGAAACCTTTGATAGTGGGTTCAAATTCTTGTTTTCCTGGGATGTCAGTGGAATACCGTTCCAGGCGGTGCTAATCCAATCTCATTCACTGCTTGGTTGTGTTTTACACTTTTGTGAATATGCTTTAGGGAACTATTCAGGTGTAACCTCATGAATGTGATGGTGGTTAGTTTTTGTAAGTTTTCAGTGTAACATTAATATACTTGTGTATGATCAGATTTTTGTTTGAAATATACATCTACTTTGTACTGAATATTTTGATACAATGTATATATATTTATGCTGCTGTTTGTATGGTATGGTGTTTAAATTTAAATTCAACAACATGGCAACTTACAAATACTTCATATCCAACAATTTTATGTGTCGTAGTTTGCTAATTTTTCAATGGTATGGTGTTTGAATAAAAAATTGACATGACCACTTGACATCTAGTTCATATTGAACACTATGATATATATATTTTGCTTCTATTTTTATGGTACAATGTTTAAATTAAGATTTTCTTGTTCTGTCACGTACAATATATTTAAGTCGAAGTGTGTGTGGTTATAATGAATTGAAAATAGTGGCCCTTTATGAGTTATAACCAGAGTTTACTGTATCTCTTATTATGCTTTTCACTGCTTAAGGTTCTTTGTGGTTTTCACTGCTGAAGGTTCTGTATGCTTTTCACTGCTGAAGGTTCTATATGCTTTTCACTGCTGAAGGTTCTGTATGCTTTTCACTGCTGAAGGTTCTATATGCTTTTCACTGCTGAAGGTTCTGTATGCTTTTCACTGCTCAAGATTCTTTGTGGTTTTCACTGCTGACGGTTCTATATGCTTTTCACTGCTGGAGGTTCTGTATGCTTTTCACTGCTGAAGATTCTGTAAACACCTGGAAATATGTAGGGTCCAGTCCTGGGTCAAGATTGTTGGAAATCCCCAGCCATGCCGTTTGATGGCGGTGTCTGGTTTTGGATGGGGAAAGGAGAGGGGGTGGCTGTGTGTTACCCTACACTCAGCTCTGTGGGGAGGTCATGATTGATCTACATCCTGAGGATGCAGGTGTCTCAGGATGTATGTAGCTCCTCAGTTCTCAGTTCTAGTCTTTGAGGGGATTCAGGGTTTGATGTCATTCCCAGTGCTAGTCTCTGAGGGGATGCAGTTGCCCTTTACCAAAGGCTTGTCAGTTTGTGGATTCTAGGTTGATATAACTCCACCTTGCTAGTCTCTGAGTGGATTCGTGATTGATGTAGTTGCCAAATACCTAATGCTTGTCTTTGAATGGATTCAAGATGATGTAAATCAGCAGTGCTTGTCTTTGAAGAGATTCAGGATTGATGTAAATCCCCAGTGCCTAATTCTTGTCTTTGTAGGGATTCAGGATGGTGTAAATCCCAAGTGCCTATTGCTCGTCTTTGAGGGAATTCATTCAGGAGGGTGTTAATCCTGAGTGCCTAATGTTTGTCTTTGAGGGGATTCAGGATGGATGTAAATCCCCAGTGCCTATTGCTCATCTTCGAAGGGATTCAAGAATGATGTAAATCCTCAGTGCCCAATGCTTGTCTTCCAGGGGATTCAGTGCCCAATGCTTGTCTTTGAGGGGATTCAGGATGGATGTAAATCCCCAGTGCCTATTGCTCATCTTCGAAGGGATTCAAGAATGATGTAAATCCTCAGTGCCCAATGCTTGTCTTTGAGGGGATTCATTCGGGATGGTGTTAATCCCTTGTGCCCAATGCTTGTCTTTGAGGGGATTCATTCGAGATGGTGTTAATCCCTTGTGCCCAATGTTTGTCTTTGAGGGGATTCATTCGGGATGGTGTTAATCCCTTGTGCCCAATGCTTGTCTTTGAGGGGATTCATTCAGGATGGTGTTAATCCCTTGTGCCCAATGCTTGTCTTTGAGGGGATTCATTCGGGATGGTGTTAATCCCTTGTGCCCAATGCTTGTCTTTGAGGGGATTCATTCGGGATGGTGTTAATCCCTTGTGCCCAATGCTTGTCTTTGAAGGGAATCAGGATTGATGTAAATCCCCAGTGCCTATTGCTCATCTTTGAAGGGATTCAACAATGATGTAAATCCACAGTGCCCAATGCTTGTCTTTGAGGGGATTCATTCAGGATGGTGTTAATCCCTTGTGCCCAATGCTTGTCTTTGAGGGGATTGAGGATGGTGTTAATCCCGAGTGCCTAATGTTTGTCTTTGAGGGGATACATTCAGGATGGTGTTACATGTAATTCCGAGTGCCCAATACTTGTCTTTGATAGAGGATTGATGTAATTCCTCAGGGTCTAATGCTTATATTTGAGGGGATTCAGGATTGATGTAAATCCCACTGTCACTTGTGTAGCCTGCAATGAATTGGGTAGAGTCATATGTGGTCCAGTCATCTCAGGACGATTGCTGGAATATTGCTGAAAGTGGCATAAAACCCAACTCACTCATCTGAGGATGGCAATTGAAATGAGGGTTTGTGATGTTGGGTAATATCATGTACAAGTTACTTTCAGAATATGTGATTATTCGTATACATGTATATTTACAAAGATTTACTGTTTCATTTTGTACCTGTTTGGCCATCTGTCTTTCAACGGTGTTATAATCATTGCACTATTTCACTTGTGTGTTTCAACTGTTTTCTTTCTCAATTGCTCATCTATCTTTTACAGATTTATACTTTATGGTGTTATGGGAATTTTCCTTGTATTTTATCATTAATGTTCATCAGGTGCCCAGACTTAATGATTGTCTTCAAGAAATGTTCTATCACCAGAAACCATTAAGATTTGGCACAAGCTGATATTTCATATAAATATTTTCTGAATAAAATATTTGACTTTTGTTTGTTGTTCTATCAGAAGTCTGTGATTTTGCAGACAAATGAGAAAATATTGCTGAGTGTGGCGTTAAACAACAAACAAGACAGCACAGTGATAAGATGATACATGTTAACACCAATGTAACATTTGCTGGAATGGCAAGAGTCGAGAGTCATGCAACAGGTATATCATGATCCTGTCATTTATAAACACACAACTTGGTTGGTGTGGGTACGCTGCCCTCATATTCCAGCTATATTGCGACAGTCTGTAAACAATCAAGTCTGGACCAGACAATCCAGTGATCAACAGCATGAACATCGATCTACACAATTGTGATACGATGACATTCCAACCAAGTCAGCGAGTCTGACCACCCAATCCCGTAACGGTTAGGTGCCTCTTACGACAAGCATGGGTAGCTGAAGACCAATTATAACTGGGATCTTCATGGGTAAACAAACATCTGCGTTCATGATAACGAAAAAAGTAACTGACATGCCCAAACACCAACTGTCCACAGCATGATGACAGCTACTATACCCTATTACTAGGAAACACAGCTGTGGTTCATATGAAATCCTAGAATGGTAATCACCTTACACTCTCCTTGAAAAGATTACACAATACCTTCATACGAACAGTTTATTTTACATCCGACGACACTATTGTGCTGTACATAAAGTGTTGTAAATGGCTTGTGATAATTTGTTGAAAGAGATACACAAAAACTACATTTTCTGCAGTTTCTACACAAACTGCATACTAGTCAAGACCATCAATGTTATTTGAGATATATATTATTCTGTCGACTCTGATACGAGTATGATTGTCAATTTACTTTCAGTTTCTACTTCAACAATTAACTCATGGATGCCAGAGGGATGGAATGTCCCTGCTGTTCAACCTTCACTTTGAGGTTGAATAAAATTCAAACTTTATCACGCTCACAAATATAGTTCACAGAAATCTTGATCTCCACTGTTAGGAAAAGCAAATCCTTTGATACATTGTTATGTCATTCAGATATAAGCAATATTTTGTTTGCTCATATTTTCCCTAAAAAATAATGGCGCACTTCACTTTTTTTGGGTGCACAATAAAATATGTGAAATTTGCTGTGTTTTAACCCATAAATTATCTTCGAACAACATATTTAACAGTGTCTACTTTCCAACTAAGTATTTGCACTGGAATTTAATATGCTACATATACTACCCATCAAAAGTTTAGACTCACTTAAAGCACTCACTATATGTTATGTATATATATATATATGTGGTTACATCGAAGATTGATTTCTCCACTAACTTGGGGAACCAACTGCAAACCTTATGCAGATGAATTGCATGAGGATCATGCATCAAATTGCAGAAAAGCATGTGCAAATATCATGCATGTGAACAGCTGCGTTTTGGTATAAAGTTTTGTTAAGAATTTGCCAATTTTCACTGAGTTTCATCATTTATTGAACTCATGACAATAATCTTTCCAATGTTACGAATTTGTTTTACAATACATCAGTTCGTGTGTAAACAGTACCTTTAAACAGTGTGGTATATTTTGCAAAATCTAGTTTAGAGCAGTTGACTGAAGTAAGTGGCTACATCTACACTGGTGAGTCTAAGCTTTTGATGGGTATTATATCTCTGTAATTGTATACCCATAGTGCCTAACAAATGTAATTTCATGCAACATTCATTTTTTAGATTTTTTAAAAATGCACCTCAGAAAAAAGACACCCCGGCATCCAGAGGGTTATACTGGTCCTTGATAAGGAACTAGAGCAGGGAGCCAAAACAACATGACTGAACCCAAAGGATTTTTCAGTTGAAACCCAAGTAAGAAATAATGTTTCTTGACCTCTTTCGTTCAGTATATGTGAACAAATGGTAATAACATGCATGCAAGAGTTGTAACATTTGATGGATAACTCTACTGTACATGACAACACAAGGCTGGCAGTAAAAACTATTACACTGATAAATACACATTATATACATAATATACAGTATTTGATGTCTTGTGGTGTCCAATCAACATCTGAACATTGTACAACATATCTGCTCAAAATGAACAAATTTTGTAATTTTTGAAAATCCATTTTTTTGTCAAATTCATTAAAGTTGCCATGATGAAAGGATGATTTCTGATGTTATAAACTAAATACTTATTGATACAACATGCAAATAATTGGCCATTGGAGAGCTCTCTGAATGTTTTTGATTTTTTTTAGATCTGTAAGTTTACAAGATCGGGCCACTCGTAAAATTCAAGAAAATCTAGAAGGTTCAAATTGTCCCTAGTACCTGTACGAGTGGTTTAATGCTACTAGTCCGTTTCACAGTACTTCATACACGTCATTAAAATGGCACAATGCATTTTTTTTTGTTAAAACTGTTTTTCCTTTAATGAGCATTGTAATGCTACTGTCCTGCAAAAGATATTTGTTTAGAACCAAAAAGTATCCTGCTGAGTATTGTACTGTTAATGTTGGTAAGGACAGATACTCTAGGCTTCACTCTCCCCTTCTATAGATTGCTGGTCCTCCAGTATAGGAACGATGAGGTTGTCTTTGGACATCAGATTGTATTTCGTCACAAACTGGGTGAATCGACGGCATAGGAAAGTCTCATTCTGAAAACACATGCAACATGTACAAACACTTCCTTGAGATTAGAACAAAGGAATCTCTTTTAAACCAAAGCACATTATTCATCTTATTAGTTCAACAACTGCAAAATGTCCAGGGCCCACACACAAAGTGATCAGAGCTGTGTTGACTCTAGGCCAGAGTATGGGAGTTACATTCATCATAGCACAGAAGATTGCCTTGTATAAGTGGGCCCAAGCATTACAACACAACCGAGGGATTAGAGAGTGAAAATTTAACCTGAGAGTCAAATTTGGTGCAAAATTATTTCGTCCTGGCTTATGTAGACTTCCCAAGGGGGATTACCATTAACTACATTGTCTCCTCTGTACACCCTAAAGGGGAGAAGCATTGAGGACTGGGGTCATGTCTGCCCAGGACCCCCTAAAGGGGACGAGCATTAAGAACTGGGGACCATTTCTGCCCTGGACCCCTAAATGGGATGAGCATTGAGGACTGGGGATCATGTCTGCCCTGGACCCACTAAAGGGGACGAGCATTGAGGACTGGGGAAGATCATTAAGGACTGGTGATCATGTCTGCCCTGGACCCACTAAAGGGGACGAGCGTTGAGGACTGGGAACCATGTCTGCCCTGGACCCACTAAAGGGGACGAGCATTGAGGACTGGGGAAGATCATTAAGGACTGGGGATCATGTCTGCCCTGGACCCACTAAAGGGGACGAGCATTGAGGACTGGGGAAGATCATTAAGGACTGGGAACCATGTCTGCCCTGGACCCCCTAAAGGGGACGATCATTAAGGAAACAAGCATTGAGTACCAGGGGTTAAAATGCTCTAGAATCACAAAGGTGAGACGAGTCTTTGAGAAGAGAGATCTTGGATTGCCCTGGGCACAAGCACTAAGTACTGGGGATATAGTCTACCTGGGAATCCGAATCCCGAAAGGGAGACAAACACTGAGTGCTGGGGACACACACTGCCCCAGAATATTTATGGGGATTAACGCACTGAATACTGCCGTACCTAAGCTGCTGTGGTATCCCAACAGGGAAGCAAGCTGGGTTCTAGAGCCAGGCTGCTCTTGAAACGCGAAATAGTACAGATTATAGAGGATACTCAACAGGAGATGTTTGCTTATTTGTCGTTTAACACCACACTCAGCAATTTTCCAGCTATATGAAGGTGGTCTGTAATAATCGAGTCTGGACCAGACAATCCAGTGATCAACATTGTGAGCATCGATCTACGCAACTGGGATATGATGATATGTGTCAACCAAGTCAGCAAGCCTGACCACCCAATCCCATTAGTAGTTAGCATGGGTTGCTAAAGACCAAATCTAACCCTTATCTTCAGAGGATACTCAGTTGGAGTCAAATATGGGGTACTGGGTGCCTTATCTGCACTGAAAGACCCAGTGGTTACGTCAACATTGTACTTAAAAACTACCAAATACAATTTGGAACTGAAAGGCTCACCTCATATTCATCAAACAAGGTTCGGTGATGAAAGTATGCGTGTGAGAATATTCGGTAAACACGGCGGCAGACAGAACCCAACTTGGCTACTGAAGATTCCTTGATGCTTACTCTGAAGAAAAAATAAACATATACTAGTAATTACATTTGACCACTGTGTTTGTGTGTGTGTCTGTGAATGATCATATTTGTCCAGACTTTGGGAAATGTCATATATAACATAGTGGTGGTCCGATTATTGAAATAATCGAAGATTGGTCACAGTGACTAAACGACCAAGCGATCGATCATGTTTTCTCATAATCGAACACAAACAATTCTGGAACACTTGTTTGGCCTTTGCCCATCCTAGCAGCCACCATTTTTTGTCAGTATTTAACAACGTTCGAGTTCCAGTCGATGTTTTCATGCTGCTTGTTGTAATTCATGGTACAATTGTTAAGGATGGCACCGGCAAGAAAGTGCATAATGGTACAGGTACATGTGACGAACGTGAGTCAGAAATATTGTCAATCTTGAACCCAAGTTCAAACGAGCCGTGATTTAACATCAAGAGATGAGCTCCTTATGACGTCACCTAACAAAAGCCATGATAATGGCCCGTCGTCAAGCAATTTGGGGGCATTATCAAGTTACAGTGGCCCGCTCATTCTGATAACATGCAGGCGTTTTAATGATAATTCTATCCAGTTTAGCTATCATGATATCTAACCTCAAAATGCCAACTGCCAACCAGGGAAACAACAAATACAATCTTATAATGCCCTTCAATCTGACTCAGACTGAGATCAAACATTCAACTGTCTGCTCTCCTGGCAGTTGCCATATCAAAAGGACTACAGAGACTTATGATTAATGAAATATGTGGTCGGACAATTATCTTTTACATAAGGCATTGGGTCCTGGGAACCTATTCTGCCTCAGAATCCCCACAGGCTTTTGTTTAACAAAGCAACGAAGAGATGCTCTCACCTGCTAGGGAAGTACTTGTTGCTGTTAAGTAGACATGCTGCTCCATCCAGGGTGTGCCGGGTGTAGTCTATTGCTGGGCACTGTCACCACACAAATAATATCATTTATTACCTACTAAGGCAAAAATGTAGGGGTTCACATTTTTCATACGATGGCCTAGGGCAAAATATCACTTTGTCATGGTGACACAACGTCATGAACAATGCTATGATGTCACGTTTCTTCTATGACGTTGCAGTCTACATGCAGTGACGGCGGGTAGCCAGTCTATGTTTGAAAGTATATATTTTTGCCCATATCATACTATGTTTATGACACTTGTGCCTAAATATCAGTATAGCGCACACTCGGGAAATACCAACATTTAGGCACTCATGTCGTAAACAGTATGACATAGGCACGAATATAATATACTCTATGTAATACCATGGGGGTAATACCATGAGTGAGTGAGAGAAACCTAACATGTAAATGAAAGACTGTGTAGACATTTAGCTTAAATATGGATATAGTGACAAAATTTGGTACATATTTTACTCAATTTACCGATACACAGAAAATATATTGCAGAATACATCATTTGAAAGATTAATTGCAGTATACAAGCAACACTGTTCAGTCATCTGATTTTGGAAAAATCTTAAAGTTATTTTACATTTAATAGTGGTAAGATGTGAAAAAAATTCTTCACACTCATTAGGTAAAAATCATAATCTAATTTCACAACTAATTGTAGTAATATGTAAGTTATTTGACACTCATTAGGTAAAAAACTTAAAGTTATTTAACATCTAACAGTGGTCCAGTCATCCGAGTTATTTGACACTCATTAGGTTAAAAGCTAACAACATTTCAAACATAATTACTGGTATTTCTCCAATCTCTTACCTCCTTAGGAGTCTTATGTGCTGCACAAAGGAAGATCCACTGTTCTGTGGCCGTCATCTGGGTGCATGTGTCCGGGTTGCAGTCACTTTGCTGATAAAAACATACATTAATAAATACAGTATTCACAAAACTGTCATCAGACTTTACTTCTTGACCACATTCATGAGGCAAGGGTGAGGTGAGATGAAATGGGGTTTCATGTCGCACTTAAGAATATTTCGCTCATATGACAACGTGCATGCGTGTGTATGTGTGGCTGCTTGTACTAGCCCAGACTGGTTTTATAGCACAGCTCACTGAGATACCATGTCGCATTGAAGCATGAATACCCCAGTCAGACCCATTATACTGACTCCGAGCCGACCAGTCCTTGTTGTACCTATTAATACCGAGTGCCAGGTAGGGACCAACAAGTGCCCTATTTTAACATCTTTTGGTATGACGTGGCCGGGGATCAAACCCGCGACCTTCCGCTCTCCGGGTGGACACTCTAACCACTACATCACAGAGGGGTCATGTGGCTGGAGTGAGTTTAGTTTGATCAGTGAGTGAGAGTGGCTTTACACTGCGTTTGGCAATATTCAAGTCACATCCCACATAAAAAAATAGTCTACCCCACTGTCAAAAATGAAAGAATTTTCAAACATTAACATATTATACATACCTGTAATTTCACTGCCAACCCATTAAGTTCCATACAGAATTGTCTGAAAAAACATGTACTGTTTCAGGAAAATTTCAAAAATAACTGTCAAAAATAATATTTATATTTTATACATGAAATAAACAATAAGTGTACATGTATTTCATCCTGGCCCATGGAGCTGCGGAGGGGGAGTGTGGGCACAGATGTATATATCAATAGCTCTCTGATATGAGGGAGACTCACCTGAGATGTCCATACTTCCACACACCCTCATCCTGGCCCTTGGGGGTGGGGAGGGGAAGTGTGGGTACAGATATATATCAGTAGTTCTATGATATGAGGGAGATTTCCCTGAGATGTTCGTACTTCCACACACCCTCATCCTGGCCCTTGGGGGTGGGGAGGGGATGTGTGGGTACAGATATATATCAGTAGCTCTATGATATGAGGGAGACTCACCTGAGATGTTCGTACTTCCACACACCCTCATCCTGGCCCTTGAGGGTGGGAGGGGATGTGGGTACAGATATATATCAGTTGCTCTCTATGATATGAGGGAGACTCACCTGAGATGTTCTCAGTACACACACACCCTCATCTTGGCCCTTGAGGGTGGGAGGGGATGTGTGGGTACAGATATATATCAGTAGCTCTATGATATGAGGGAGACTCACCTGAGATGTTCAGTGACTTCCACACACCCTCATCCTGGCCCTTGGGGGTGGGGAGGGATGTGTGGGTACAGATATATATCAGTAGCTCTATGATATGAGGGAGACTCACCTGAGATGTTCAGATTCCACACACCCTCATCCTGGCCCTTGAGGGTGGGAAGGGGATGTGTGGGTACAGATATATATCAGTAGATCTATGATATGAGGGAGACTCACCTGAGATGTTCGTACTTCCACACACCCTCATCCTGGCCCTTGGGGGTGGGGAGGGGATGTGTGGGTACAGATATATATCAGTAGCTCTATGATATGAGGGAGACTCACCTGAGATGTTCGTACTTCCACACACCCTCATCCTGGCCCTTGAGGGTGGGAGGGGAGGGGTACAGATGTGTGGAGGGAGACTTACAGATATATATCAGTTGCTCTATGATATGAGGGAGACTCACCTGAGATGTTCGTACTTCCACACACCCTCATCCTGGCCCTTGAGGGTGGGGAGGGGATGTGTGGGTACAGATATATATCAGTAGCTCTATGATATGAGGGAGACTCACCTGAGATGTTCGTACTTCCACACACCCTCATCCTGGCCCTTGGGGGTGGGGAGGGGATGTGTGGGTACAGATATATATCAGTAGCTCTATGATATGAGGGAGACTCACCTGAGATGTTCGTACTTCCACACACCCTCATCTTGGCCCTTGAGGGTGGGGAGGGGATGTGTGGGTACAGATATATATCAGTAGATCTATGATATGAAGGAGACTCACCTGAGATGTTCGTACTTCCACACACCCTCATCCTGGCCCTCAGGTGGGGTCAGGATCTCAACAACATTGGTGAAGTCCTTTCTGATAGCTTGTTGGATGAACTGAATCATAACAAAACATGACTTCTGAGTGAATCTTTAAAACATATTTCACAAAACAATGTTGATATTTAGATAACTATTAACAGATATAAAATTTATCATCCAAATCTGTATGCCAAAGGAGATATTGCTTGTGTGAGATCAAACGATATCTCCTAGGCGATATCGTTTTGACAATAGATTTTGTACAATGCCCTAACAATGCTATGAGACGTCATGAACTTGATGACGTCTCAATGCTATGACATCGCTGCACTGCCAGTCTACTGTGTTCAGAGATGTACATTTTTCATTGAAAACTAAAGAAGAGTGATTTTTGATGATAAATAGAATCTCACCCTAGTGTCTTCTGATATCAAATATATCAACACTCGCTGATAAAAGTAAAAATATCCTCGGCAAGCCTGGATATTTATAACTTTATCAACTCGGGGTGATATATTTGATATCAAAAGACACTCGGGTGAGATTCTCTATACCTCTTAGGGTGACCGAGTGGGTAAAGTTTTAACTTCTATACCATCTGTGTTTCAGTTATACATGTTATATGTATTCACATATCAACAATGAGACTTACTTTGAATATAAATGCCTACAAAATTCTGTTGGCAAAGAGTGCCTTGGCTACGAAAACCGAGTCCATGACTCTTATCTAGCTGAACATCATTTCATAAAGGAGTAGGGATAAAAATGCATGTTTTTTCAAAGGCTGCCAGTTAGCACCAGACAGATAATTTATGTGTGCCGTTGTGAAAATATGAGTGCCCATACCATTTCAGGGGCGGATACACCTTTTAAGAAAGGGGGGGTGCACACTATTGAGAAAAGGAGGGGTGCACACTTCATTTTCACCCGAGTTTCAATGGTCATTTAACAAACTTTCAGCACAAAAGGGGGGATGCGCACCCCTGCACCCCCCCACTGGATCCACCTATGCATTTGATGAATCAATTAAACCTAAAATATCACAAAAATTATGTCATTTCAATTTATGTTAATATATCAGGAAACATCATGTACACATGCTGGCTGGATTTCCCAAACACTATCATGACTGCCAGAATAGTTCAGCTTCATTTGTCCACGCCCCACAAACTAACCTACAAACTATGTTATCATCCATAACAGCATTTCCTGGTAAGCTCACTGGAATTCAAACTGGCCATGCCCATGTTAAACTGTGAGAGTGCCAGCCGAAAAGAGTTTGATGCCATGCAAAAATTGGTTTTAAATCAGTTGGTCAAATTATTACATTTTCCATTAAATGAATCATGGTGTGTAATATATTTATAATTTAACCTGTGCCACCAGGGCACATTGAAAACATGTCATGTGTGTCATTTCAATACTGATCTTGCCATGGCACACAAATAAAGTACTATTTAGATCCCTGAGTAAGCTTATTTAACAAGTCTTCAAATTCATATTTTTTGTATAATTATTATTATGTTTTACAGATTAAGATGAAAAATGCAGCAGAGAGGGTTCGGATGATCCTGGCACAGTCAGGCTGGTAAGGCTCATCATCAGCTCAGGGCCCTTGCCCCCTCTACATGCAACCCACACAGCTTAATGGGACTTCGGAGGAGTGACAGCGAATGGGACTTCTCCGAGGAAACACTGCCTAGTCGAACCCACCAAGAACTTTCCGGAGAATATGTAGACTCCCCAACACTGCAGCCTTCTGCATTACCCAGAGTGTCAGAAGGGAGATCAGGAGGTACCAAACCAAGGGCACCGAGAACAATGGGGAGTCTGACGACAGTGTACTTGTGATGCAAGCGAGACATTTCAAAGGCAAGGTCCGCATATTTATGATGCTTTTCCTGAATCTTGCCAATCACACTGCTGTCAAAAGGGACAGAAAATTCAATGATATAAATAAATTCATTGGCTTTATCAAAAAGGACAAGATCAGGTTTGTTGGCTGGAATTCTTCTGAGGCTGTATACGGGCCTATTCCACAGAAGTTTGAAAGCATCATTTTCCATGACACCCTGGACATGTTCAGTGTCGTACCATGGATGGACCTCGGAGTCAAAGCCACAGACATGGCGGAGACGGTAGTAAAAGCAACGAACCATGCCATCATGTCGTTTAAGATATGCTGTTTGTGCCAAAGAAGGGCATCCACTGACAAGATGTTGGACAGTCTCTGTGAAATTCATTACATAGTCGACATTTCATATTGATATTTTCTTTAGTTTAAGAATCACATTTTGGTGATTACGAGTGGGAAGTGACTGGTCCTGAGCAGCAAAAAGGAAGCCCTCAGTTTCACATTTAAGACCAGCCGACTTCATCCATGCGAAGGAGTGGGTGGGATTGCTATTCTGTTCAACACACTGCATGTAAACACGATGCAATGGCTTCTCAGAAAGCTTCTCAACAAAAGACAGACTCTGGGCAGACTTGGTGAAGGACTTCACCTGGTTTACTCTCATCGCTGTACCGTCCAGCAGTACATTGCCATAAAAACAAGAAGACAAAGTCATCAATATCCCCCGCAATGGCAAAATACTCTTCATGATTATGTCTACGAGTAATGATTATGTCAAATATTTAGGTGTGTATATGGAAAAGTGGAAGGAGAGTATTGAAAGGTTTTTAAAGTTCTGCTCCCAAAAGCAGCACTATCACCAATTTCAGGCTAAGTCAAACTTGTTGCCATGGAAACGCCATAAATATTTTATTCAGAATTCCAAAACTACCAAAAGGCACCAGTACACCACCAGACCAATCTATGTGCCAAGTTTGGTAAAGAAATAGTGAACAGTTTTAGAGTTCTGCCAAGTCGAAAAAAATAGTACCACCAATTTCAGGCTGTCAAACTTGTTGCCATAGAAACGCCATGGAAAGAAATATTTTTATTCAGAATTCCAAAACTACCAAAAGGCACAAGTACACCACCAGACCAATCTATGTGCCAAGTTTGGTGAAGAAATAGTGATTAGTTTTAGAGTTCAGCTCCGGAAAAGAGCACTACTACAATTTCAGGCTAAGTCAAACTTGTTGCCATGGAAACGCCATAAATATTTTATTCAGAATTCCAAAACTACCAAAAGGCACCAGTACACCACCAGATCTATCTATGTGCCAAGTTTGGTGAAGAAATAGTGAACAGTTTTAGAGTTCTGCTCCGGAAAAGAGTACTACCACAATTTCAGGCTAAGTCGAACTTGTTGCCATGGAAACGCCAAAAATATTTAATTCAGAATTCCAAAACTACCAAAAGGCACCAGTGCACCACCAGATCCATGTATGTGCCAAGTTTGGTGAAGAAATATTTAACGGTTTTAGAGTTCTGCTCCGGAAAAGACAAATGTGCACGGACGGACGGACGGACGCACGCGACGCACGCACGGACGAGTCCATTTTAATACCCCCTGCAAAACGCGTTGCGGGGGATAAAAATCAACCTCAAATCTCAGATTCTGTCCAACAACCTTGGCACGCTTAAAATAGCTGTGGAATTACTTGCTTGCATCATGAGTCTTCACATGCATCACCAGAGGATCATCCGATAAATAAATATGTGCAAAAGTACACAATAAAATTCTATCATGAAGAGCCTCCACATTAATCAAACCCCGACCTCCAGAATTGATTGGCATATATAAACGGTTAAGAGAGGAACGAGGGTGGTGGGCTCTGTTATCAGACATGATCCTTCTGGTCAGACAGTCAAGACTCTGGATATCTTGTTTTGTCCAATCAACTACTCCAAAGGAATAGGAAAGAACTGGCACAGCAAAAGTATTGGTGGCTTTGACCTTGTTTCGAGCATTTAGCTCTGAGCTCCAGATTTTCTTTAAGCGAGATTTATACTCGGCCCGAAGTTTTTCTTGAATCTTGGCATTTTGGAGCTTGTCTCAAACTTGCATTCCAAGATAGGTGTAGGCCTGATCTTTCACAAGATGCTCAATAACTCCTCACCCTTGTAAGTTGACAGATCCATCATTAACTACCTTGCCACGTTTCAAATGAAGAGTATTACATTTGTTGAGCCCAAATGTCATGCCAATATCATTAGCAAAGGACTCCACAAGGAGAACCTGCTCTTTCAAATTGGTATCTCCTTTGGCAAGGAGCTTGATGTCATCCATGTAAAGGAGATGAGTAAGTGGTGTTGGGGATCTGTGCTGAGGAGGTCCGGGATGGTAACCCTCCTCTTTATTGAGCAGAAAGCTCAAAGGATTTAGAGACAAACAAAAATGCAATGGACTGAAGGAGTCCCCCTGGAAAATCCCCCTTCTGATCGGAATAGAATCCGGAGTCTACACCTGCCCTTGCGAGTACATGTCAAGTTGAGTCGACCAGTAACCCATTAAAGACTTGAGTAAATCAAGTAGTCGCTCTGGGAGGTCAGTACAACACAGAGACTTCAGATCCATTCGTGAGGGACAGAGTCGTATGCTTCTTTGTAGTCAATCCAGCACATGGAGAGGTTGCGGTGATATGTTTTAGCTTCTTCCAAAATCATTTTCTGTACAAGAAGTTGATCCTTGCAACCCCAACATCCCTTTCTTGCTCCCTTCTGCTCTCTGTAAATTATATCATTGGAAGAGCAGTAAGATGACACGAGGTTTGTCAAACACCCTGTGAATATTTTGTATTGTGTATTCAAACATGTGATAGGGCGGAAGTTTTTGGGATACGTCAAGTCTCCTTTCTTGGGGAGAAGTATTGTGCGACCTTTGCAGAACCATGGAGGAACATCACCTGTGTCCACGAGAGTATGGAAACAGTGTAGTAATGGTATTTGGACACAGGGGAACAGTTTCCAATACCGGTTTTGAATGCCATCAGGCCCTGGAGCTGTATTAGATTTGGACTTTTTATAACACTTTTCAGGCAATCTGGTGAGATGTAAGAGACAAACGACCTAGTTAGTTTCTCATGCACTGCATGGTCATAATCACGGACCCACGGTGCCTTAAGGTTACAGTCGCCAGTTACAGACCACAACTGTTTCGAGAACCTTTCATTGGCATCCACGGGAGGCCGTTTATCATGCTCACCATCACCTCTTGTTTTAAGTTGCCTGTAGAAGTGCTTTCCATTATTTCTCAAAAGTTTATTTTGTTTGATGAATTTGTTTTTCTTTTCCCATTTATTCTTTCTTTCAGTCCAAACTTTTATTTTTGCCTTAAGAGAATCGACAATTTGGAGAAATACCTTTTCTTTTATTATTATTATGTTTTACAGATTAAAGATAGTATGCAGCAGAGAGGGTTCGGGTGATCCTGGCACAGTCAGGCTGGTAAGGCTCATCATCAGCTCAGGGCCCTTGCCCCCTCTACATGCAACCCACACAGCGAATGGGACTTCTCCCAGGAAACGCTGCCTAGTCGAACCCACCAAGAACTTTCCGGAGAATATGAAGGCTCCCCAACACTGCAGCCTTCTGCATTACCCATAGTGTCAGAAGGGCTGTACTCCCAGTGGAGAACCCGGCACTCTCCTGATCTGCGCCAAGAGATCAGGAGGTCCAAACCTGGCGACAGTGTTCTTGGGATGCAAGCGAGACATTTCAAAGGTGAGGTTTTCCTGAATCTTGCCAATAACATTGGTGTCAAAAGGGACAGAAAATTCAATGATATAAATAAATTAATTGGCTTTATCAGAAAAGACAAGATCAGGTTTGTTGGCTGGAATTCTTCTGAGGCTGTATATGGGCCTATTCCATAGAAGTTTGAAAGCATCATTTTCCATGACGCCCTGGACATGTTCAGGGTCGTACCATGGATGGACCTCGGAGTCAAAGCCACAGGCATGTCGGAGACGGTAGTAAAAGCAATGAGCCATGCCATCATGTCGTTTAAGATATGATGTTTGTGCCAATGAAGGGCATCCACTGACAAGGTGTTGGACAGTCTCCGTGAATTCATTGCAAAGTCGACATTTCATATTAATATTTTCTTTAAGAATCACATTTAGGCGATTGCGAGTGGGAAGTGACTGGTCCTGAGCTCCCATCGCTGTACCGTCCAGCAGTACATTGCCATCAGCAAAGTATTATTATTATTATTATTATTTTAGGATATTTATATAGCGCACATATCCAGGCAACTAGTACTTGCTCAAGGTGCTGGTATTTGTCCCCCTCGATCACTGGATGTCAATCTCAATGGCACATCACATATTATCAATCTCAACTCCCTGGGGAGTATATAACTCTTGAAGCCACTAGGCTCACCAAGTTATTGTGGCTTTCTCATCCTAATGAGGTACCTATTCACAGCTGCGTGGACTGGGACACATAGTCACAGTACTTTGTCCAAGTTCACTGCATGTTGCTGTACCCGCAACTAGGTGTTTGCACGTACTCATGTGGCCACCATCTGGCCATATACCAACGGATTCGTGGGTTCTTTAAGTGCACAGGGTTGTGTACTGTATACTAGGGGTTGTGACAACACTGAAAGAGTCTGCACACAAAGTTGAGTCCAAGGTTATTACACCCAGTCACAGGTGGGTTCGATCCCGGCACCTCAACCTCGCTGAATCACTAGCCTTGCGCCTTAGCCAGCTCGCCCACTGCGCCCCCGCAATACCAAGTCTAAATCTTCTGAACTTCTAAGACAAATTGAAATCTATATTCAGGAACCAAAAAGTTATTTTCACAAAGGCATGTACCTAAATTATCCAGGGTTAGTACCGATTATCAGCCATCAAATTTAAGGCATTTTAGGAGCTTTTCAAGGCTCAACCAACAAATTTAAGACCATAGAAACTCGTATAACAAATATGTACACACAAGGTTGGTCAAATGTGGGGAACGATTATTAGAGGGAAATAACTCTCAGCTAAATTGCTGCACTAGGAAAGTTTTTCTTGGTAGTGGATATTTATACACACCTATTGTCATTGCAAGGCATTTTCTTAACATATTCTTCAGGTGTTTTCAAGCCTGAGCAAAATCTGTTATCTGTCTGGTGCCCTATGGCATCCTTTGAAATAATTGCATTTCTATTCCTGATATTGTAAGGGGCACAGTGGCTATATAGAACACAGACGTGATGAATTGAAATATAATAAGATTGCGAGAAAACAATATTAAGTCCTTTTCCAGAAACTACAGAAATTACACGAATGATAATTTGTGAGAATATCTAAGATATACCTATCAAGACTGAGTTAATAAATTGGTGCGATAAAATATTTTTTGCTGAATTATGTCCCTTGTTGTCTGTTATTTTACAGAGTTAAGGTGTGTGAGTGGGTATGGTTTTACACCGCTTTTAGCAACATTTCAGCAATATCACGGCTGGGGACACAAGAAATGGGCTTCACACATTGTACCCATGTGGGGAATCAAACCCAGGTCTTCGGCGTGACAAGCGAATGTTTTAACCACTAGGCTACCCCACTGCCCTCCAGAGTTAGGGCTTTTACTCCATTTTTCTCAACAACAACTTCATGACCGTATGGACAAACAATATTATAATGTGCCCAATGGAAGGGGTCAATTATAGTAACTAGAACACTGATAGTGAGTGAGTGAGTGAGTGAGTGAGTTTTTCGCCACATTCAGCAATATTCCAGCTATAAGGCGGGGGTCTGTAAATAATTGAGTTTGGACCAGACAATCCAGTGATCAACAGCATGAGCATCGATCTATGCAATTTGGATACGATGACAAGTGTCAACCATGTCAGCGAGCCTGACCACCCGATCCCGTTGTCGCCTCTTAGGACAAGCATGGGTTACTGAAGATCAATTCTAACCCGGATCTTCTCGGGTTTCACTGATAGTGAAGTTGTGACAAGGTCAGACAAGGATCTCCCACCTGCTGCACTGCAAGGGTGCTGTCCATCTCCTCAAAGGACTCATCCTGCCAGCTGCACCAGTTCTGGAGGAACAATAAAGTTGTGAGTTAAATTCAACATCAAACTATACAGTATTTCACTGACATTACCACTCTCACAGAGATCACTAGTCCTTAGCTGTACAGTCCAAGAGTAGCAAAATATCTTTCAGTATGGTAAGCATTGCAAAAAGGGCTATTTATTGACCATGCTAACACAAGATAAGCTGTCATCAGATACTAAGTAAAGTTGAGTGCAGATTTTTAAGTACAGTCGAACGCCAATATCTCCAACTTGGTTGAGACGAATTCTCGATTGTGTCTAACTGAACCTTCCGATTTTGTTATATTTATCATCATTGTCTCAAACTAGATGTGTCAATTTCCCTGTTGTTTCAAACTCATTTTAGGGTCCCCAAAAGCCCTAATAAGGGACTGTTTATAATTTATGGACAGGAGGGTGATGATGATTTTCATGGAGAAGCATGTACAGTGTGACTGACCCCCTCTTAAATTTATGTACAAAGTAAGTGATCCTGCCCTGCATGTCATGTACAAAATCAATGATCCCCCCTCCCTTCCCATATTTTTTAAGCATAATTTGTGTATATTTCTATGTACAAAATTGCTGCCCCTCTCCCCCCTGCCTCCCCAAAACAAAATGGGTGACCTCTCCTAAAACATCATCAAAACATCACCCACCCACTAGCCATAAATTCATATATTATTAATGGTCCCTAAGTACAAATTAACCCTTTTGCCTCGAACTGTCAAAGTTGTCAAAGTTTATTGTTGCAACTGAAAACTTCATTCACGTAATCAGAAGTCATGCTCATAAACATGCTACCAAAAGATCAAAGGTGAGGATTAATGGTTTCATCAATCAAGTGGCATGTTTGGGAGTACTGCACTTTACCGGGTGCACTTTTTCAGATTAATTAGCGCTGCTGGGGCTCGAACGCTCTTCGCCGGATTACTGACTTGGTTACTTAGTGACGTAATTGGCGGACGCTCTACCTTGGGACCACGAGCACCATCACAGTTAATGAGTGCTTGTTTAACAGGTCATTTGCTTGGAAGTGAGGCGGAAGTGCGAGAAATGAAAACAAACCACTACGCACGCGCAATGGTTTGTTTACATTTCTCGCGCTTCCGTCCCACTGTGCCACGCCCTTCCATTCATTTTTTCACGCCATTATTTCTTGGACTGTACTGACGAGTATGGGATGGATCGGGATGTGTTTCAGTTGGATATAACAGGATTATATACTGCCCTAAGGTAAAGTCAAACCCTAAATAAGAATTAGAAAGGGTCCCTAACCCTACCCCTCTCCCAACCCTAACCCTAAGGATCGGAAAGGGTACCATACCCTAACCCTAAGGATCGGAAAGGGTGCTAACCCTAAACCCTAAGGAAAGTAAAGGTTCCCTAGCCCTAACCCCTAACCCTAAGGATCGTAAAGGGTGCCTAACCCTAAACCTAAGGATCTTAAAGGGTGCCATACCCTAACCCTAACCCTAACTTATGGATCGTAATGGGGTGTTTGACTCTAAAGATGCAAGTGAAGGGAGACGGAGCACTTACAGCGATATAGCGAGACAGCGCTTGAGACAGTGCGGTAGCGCTATAGCGCAATAATTGCCCTGCAGCAAGCAGTGCATTCTAGCCGCATCCCAGATAGCAATGTCCGTTGGGCCAATGTTGGACCAACATTGGCCATCATTGGGCCTACTTTGGCCAATGTTGGCCCAACGAACATTGCTATCAGGGATGTTAACTACACATGTATACACATATAGTCATCACACTTACCAACTGATTAATTGACTAGTTACCAGCTGACTGATAAATGTAATAGTGCTGTCAACTAAACGGGATCGCTTGTGAGTTTGTTAAATTACATGGGTTAAAATTTAGGGGGGAAACGGGAGGAAGTCTTACCCCTCGTTCATTGTTTAACATAGCATCTGGGAATATCCCATCTAGATAAGGGTGATCACTGTGAAAGCACTTGGTTATTTAAAACACTATCGTATGCTAAAGTAAGATACAAATATACACCTATTGTAAGATTTGGGGATACACTTGGGATCTTAGCTTTGTGTTTTTAAAATCAATACCGTGTAAATGAAACCGACTGTCTTCAAGTTGAGACTGAGAGAGGTTGTCTCAGACAATTGTTTCATTGTGTGACTGGATCGTAATTAAATCCGTAAATTTATTCACGTCGGGTCATTACTGCGTAGGACCGTAGACTGGTATCACCAATGATAAATATACAAGTGTTGAAAACCAATGAAACACACCTGAGATTTAGTACCAGGACGATTCCTTCTGACAATCGTGCCTGCAGTATCGGTGGCAGCCATTTTCATTTTGGTCAACGAAGGGACATAACTCTGTACGAGAATTATTTTCTCCTCCAAACTCATTGTCTTTGGATAGCGGGTCGAATCCCGTGTTTCACAATATGCCATGTCCTTGTTGGTTTTCTGTATTATTGATGATTTGGACGCCCCAACAGAATGCAGATTTCTAGAGCAATAAAGGGTTTTTTCTACAAAGTGGATTTTTCTGGAATTCGTTTAAATCTCAGCGTTTCAAACTCAATTAATTAACGACAGGGGAGGATAAAGCGTTTTGAGAAAGTGCATGCTAATGAGATACGGTGTGTGTGTGCGTGCGTGCGTGCGTGCGTGCGCGCGCGCACTTCATTTTCAAGAGAGTTTCAATGGTCATTTAATAAACTTTCAGGACAAAAGGAGGGGGTGGGGGGAGCATATACGTGAAACACATCCTTACAGAAATCATTGAGTCATTCTTCGTATATATACATATTCCTATATTCTTCCCACAGTAAACATTTAGTCATTCTGCTTACAAGGTGTATTTCGCTATTCTCCTTACACCCAAACGTCCCGATACTCTATCATTACATATTCAGGTTTTCTTCTTTCATTAATCTTACATCAACTGTTCTGGAATTCATCTCAAATTAGGCATTTCAATATTCTTACATTAGTCCCTCAGGCATATTTTTCATCAAATATTCCGATATTCTTCTTACAGTCCCTTTTCAGGTGAATCCACTGTTCTGTCAAACTCTCCGAAGCACGAAACGTGTTTGATTGAGCTGGTAAATGTAGTGTAGTTTTTTTCATTTTATTTTTGCAAAGACCAGACTGACACAACAGAAACTACACCCACACCCCAAAAATTGAAAGAATTAATAAATCACCCCACCACCCTCGTGGGCGTACGCGTTGCTTTTAGTTTCGTTATCTTTCTTTGAAGTGACACCCTATCCACACCCACCCGGCACAACAGATCTATCACCTTGACCTGCTTTGTCTGTTTCATCCTTTCTGATAACACACCTTCCTGTCGCGGTTATGTCAAAATCCGGAAAGATCCGGGTCAGAATTGGTAGTAAGAGGCGATCGGATTGTCAGGCTTGCTGACTTGGTTGACACATGTCATCGTATCCCAATTGCGATTATTATTTACAGACCGCCTCCATATATACACAAAGCATCCCTGGCATATCTCACGATAGAATGAGCCCCCGATCTGAACCCATTGGGGCATATCCGGGACATGATTGGTCGTCGTGTGCAACAAAAGGGATCCTCCTGTACAGAACCTGGCCCAACAGTAAGATGCTTTACACGAGGAATGGCGTAGACTGCCCCTTCAGAGGATCAGGAGGCTGACAGAGGGTATGAGGAGGACAGTGCTTGCTGTCATACACATGTAGGTTACACTGGGTATTGACTTTGAATCGTGTAAGACACGCAAAATGACATGTTGAATGTTCACCAATAAATTCAACATTTAACATTCCAGGCCATACTTGTACAGACATGGTTTTGTATGAAAATCAGTATGTGTGTGTTGTTGTTATTTTTTAAATGAGCAATTATCATCATAAAATCAACATGGATTCCCTTCATTTTGTCGTTTTTTTATGAGCCAAAGGATCATACGGCTCATGTTTTGCCATCCTGGTCACCACGAGAAGATTTATGTACGTGTTGAACACATATCATTGCAAAAACGCAGGGGTGCTTAATTCAGTTCATTGTGTATAGCCTGAATAGTTGTTTGTTGTTTTGTAGTTTCAAGTCAAAACATTGATGACACAACAGTCTCGTTTCCTGCTGACTGGGTTCCGTCCTATTGCGCAACTTCGTACAATAACCAGTCCAGAATTTTGAGACCAATTCATTCAACTGGATACATAAATATTCATCGGTATTATTTGATATACCTAAGCACATGTATATTGCAACACTACGCTCCTTCTAACCCTTGAAAAAACACGTCGTGCAGCGTGATCTGTCGTACAGCTTGCTCTGTTAAATGGAAATTGTGGAAATCTCAAAACGAGGCTCTGACGCTAGAAAAGTCTGGTACGGACTTGATATTATATCATTCAGATTGTGCGTTACAAAACTACACTGAAAAAGCGCAAAGAACACATAACAGGTGTAACCAATGAGTCAGATGAATTGTGAATCATTTTACGACCTTATCAAACAGGGGCAGCCTGTGACGTCTTAGTTAAGGTCATGCGGCCTACACCTCGCCATAAAATATAAAAATACGATGTTATTAAAGATTAAAATTAAATTTAACTTGTAAATACCATGTTCTTATGAAACAAGGAATTGGACTTCAGTGTAACCATAGTTGTTTGTGGTGTCTCATTTCACTTTCACTCGAGAAAATTCGCATCGGCTGAAAAGTAGGTCATTGTCTGAATAGGTTAATGAGATTCATGTTTCGGTTTGACACCGCACTCAGCAATATCCCAGCTTGGTCATGCGGACAAGACGTCCGATAGAGAGAGAGAGAGAGAGAGAGAGAGAGAGAGAGAGAGAGAGAGAGAGAGAGAGAGAGAGAGAGAGAGAGAGAGAGAGAGAGAGAGAGAGAGAGAGAGGAGAGATAAAGAGAGAGAGAGAGAGAGAGAGAGAGAGAGAGAGAGAGAGAGAGAGAGAGAGAGAGAGAGAGAGAGAGAGAGAGAGAGAGAGAGACATTTAGACCCATAAGCACAACCCGGATTTACCTTGAATCGTTTTCTTTGTATTATCACAAACATACATCTCCTTTCCTCACACCTCCTACGCACAGCACTCAAACCGGAGGTAGGTCAGTAGGGAGGGCATTGAGACCACCCACCAAAGGAGAAATCAGTATAAAGAACTAGACCAGCATAGCACCCAGGATGGATCAATATAAAGAACTAGACCAGCATAGCACCCAGGAGTAGTCAATATAAAGAACTAGACCAGCATAGAACCCAGGAGAAATCAGTATAAAGAACTAGACGAGCATAGCAACCAGGAGAAATCAGTATAAAGAACTAGACCAGCATAGCACCCAGGATGGATCAATATAAAGAACTAGACCAGCATAGCACCCAGGAGTAGTCAGTACAAAGAACTAGACCAGCAGAGCAACCAGGAGAAATCAGTATAAAGAACTAGGCCAGCATAGAACCCAGGAGAAATCAGTATACAGAACTAGACCAGCATAGCAACCAGGAGAAATCAGTATAAAGAACTAGACCAGCATAGCACCCAGGAGAGATCAGTATAAAGAACTAGACCAGCATAGCAACCAGGAGAAATCAGTATAAAGAACTAGACCAGCATAGCACCCAGGAAAAATCAGTATAAGGAACTAGCACCAGCATAGCAAAGAACTAGGCCAGGAGCACCCAGGAGAAATCAGTATAAAGAACTAGGCCAGCATAGCACCCAGGAGAAATCAGTATAAAGAACTAGACCAGCATAGCACCCAGGAGAAATCAGTATAAAGAACTAGACCAGCATAGCACCCAGGAGTAGTCAGTATAAAGAACTAGACCAGCATAGAACCCAGGAGAAAACAGTATAAAGAACTAGACCAGCATAGCAACCAGGAGAAATCAGTATAAAGAACTAGACCAGCATAGCACCCAGGATGGATCAATATAGAGAACTAGACCAGCATAGCACCCAGGAGTAGTCAATATAAAGAACTAGACCAGCATAGCACCCAGGAGAAATCAGTATAAAGAACTAGGCTAGCATAGCACCCAGGAGAAATCAGTATATAAAGAACTAGACCAGCATAGCACCCAGGAGTAGATCAATATAAGAACTAGAACTAGCAACCAGGAGAAAGCACCCAGCATAGCAAATCAGTATAAAGAACTAGGCCCAGGAGCATAGCACCCAGGAGAAATCAGTATAAAGAGCATAGCACCCAGGAGAAATCAGTATAAAGAACTAGACCAGCATAGCACCCAGGAGAAATCAGTATAAAGAACTAGACCAGCATAGCAACCAGGAGAAATCTAGACCAGCATAGCACCCAGGAGAAGTCAATATAAAGAACTAGGCTAGCATAGCACCCAGGAGAAATCAGTATAAAGAACTAGGCCAGCATAGCACCCAGGAGAAATCAGTATAAAGAACTAGACCAGCATAGCACCCAGGAGAAATCAGTATAAAGAACTAGACCAGCATAGCACCCAGGAGAAATCAATAAGTATCAAGAGCACCCAGGAGGACCAGCATAGCAGCATAGGAGAAATCAGTATAAAGAACTAGGCCAGCATAGCACCCAGGAGAAATCAGTATAAAGAACTAGACCAGCATAGCACCCAGGAGAAATCAGTATAAAGAACTAGACCAGCATAGCACCCAGGAGAAATCAGTATAAAGAACTAGACCAGCATAGCATCCAGGAGAAATCAGTATAAAGAACTAGACCAGCATAGCACCCAGGAGAAATCAGTATAAAGAACTAGACCAGCATAGCACCCGGAGCACCCGGGAGAAATCAGTATAAAGAACTAGACCAGCATAGCACCCCAGGAGAAATCAGTATAAAGAACTAGGCCAGCATAGCACCCAGGAGAAATCAGTATAAAGAACTAGACCAGCATAGCACCCGCCCACACCTGTATAGGGGTCTTCGGTAACTTAACCTTCACAGTCTAAAGCATAATGACCTGCTTTTGAAACTACCTTGAGATAAGATCATGTTATAATCTGCGTTTCTTTGTTCACTAAAATCCGGGAAGGTGTGTTTACACAAAATGCATTCAACTTGATGAAAGGTGTATATTTTTAAAGACAAACTACGCTTGTGTGTGGTTGTCATTTTTCAGTAATCTTGGTATTTTTTACCTTTATTTAAACTGGTTCACTTCCTTTGCGTAATCAGATTGATAATTGACATTAAAACATCAGTTATCATTCGTAGTCTTTGAACGACTTTTCTCAAAACCTATTTGTTTGATCTGCCTAACCGACAAAACAGACATACCCGTGAACATCCGGGTTAGAACTGATCTCTAGTAACCCATGTTTGTCGTAACAGGCGATTAACGAGATGGTTTGTGAGGCTCGCTGACTTGGTTGACACAGTTCATCGTATCCCAATTGTGCATATCGATGCTCATGGTATTGATCACTGGATTGTTTACAGACCGCCGCAATATAACTGGAATATTGCTGATCGTGGCGTTACAAAACAAACCAAAACGTCAGGCAGTCACCTTTAAAATCAATAGTAAGGAAGAAGCTCTTATCTTTCGAGGTCGTGTCCTTGTGTATTTGGATTTGTTGGATTGTACTGAACTTAGGACTTCAAAGTTCAAGGTCTGTGCCATGCTTACAACACATGCACTTGATGTACTATGAACTTGTGTGTGTGTGTATGAGAGGCTGCTTGTGCGGGCATGGATTTTGTCGATTTTTCTGTTTTCATACTAAGAAATTCTAGAACGGACATTACGCCGCTTTTAGCGATATTCCAGAAATATCACGGCGGAGGACACCAGAAATGGGCTTCACACAATGTACCCATGTGGTGAATCAAACCCGGGTCTTCAGTGTGACGAGCGAACGCTTCAACCACCAGGCTACCCCACGGCCCCACATTTAAAACTAACACGTAATTACATTAATTTCCCGTTGACCCGTGAAAATCCGGGTTCTCCTCAACCAGAAACTCAACGGTGAGTGAGTGAGTGAGTTTAGTTTTATGCCGCACTCAGCAATATTCCAGCTATATGGCGGCTGACTGTAAATAATCGAGTCTGGACTAGACAACCCAGCGATCAGCAGCATGAGCATCTATCTACGCAATTGGGATGCTGAAGATTAATTCTGGGTTGCTGAAGATCAATTCTAACCCGAAATCTTACGGGTTTGTGTGATAAGTATAAGGCTTTACATAGAAGGAACCGCTTAACAGTTAATTCTTTTGTTGTGGATATTATGTGACGTCAAAATGATTGGTCTCAGAGACACACACCACCTCTTTGTTAAAGCTAAAATGTATAACCAGTCTCTTGTGTTCAATTTTATATGAAATACAATTACACACACGCCCTACTCACATCATACACTTCTGTTCGGTTTTGGCAACCCATTCTGTCGCTGTCATTATTACACGAGGCTCCTGAAATTTCACGATCCAACCCACGTCCATCCACCCATATGGCAAGCCATTTTCACATATATTATGAAATACTTAAATTGTTTTAAAGATATCTTGAATGTAAACAGAGATATCTTGAATTGAATTTGAGATATCTTGAACCGCATTACATGTAAATATATTTTGAAATTAATTAGATATTAAGATAATTATCTGTAACGAATTATCGAGATATCTGTAACGAAATTCATGATAAGTAAGGATATGATGTATGTATAGCATGTTAATGATATATTGAAAAGAATTGCTGATATCATGAAATGAATTGGAGATATCTTGAATCGATTTGGAGACATCTTGAAATGAATTAATGACATCCTGAATTGAGATATTTTTTGCTGTTTGTTCCTGTTACTTGTATTATAGATATCAATAATAGATTTAAAGATATCGTCAGAGTTATTACTGATATCTTCGAATTGATTCTAGGTATAAGTAGAGGCAATAATTAAGATATCTCAAATTGAATTTAAAATATCTCTGAGTTACAGTTATCTGTAATGATTTTGTGGATATGTATAAATTATTTCAGAATATCTTGAACTGAATATGTTGAATCAGTTTCTAATACAATTATGTACACTATGATCGTTATTGTCTTTAAACAATTAAGATATCTTTGATTTCTCAATTAATGTGGGGCGGTGGGGGTAGCCAAGTGGTTAAAGCGTTCGTTCGTCACGCCGAAGTCCCGGGGTAAATCCCCTACATGGGTACAGTATGTAAAACCCATTTCTGGTGTCCACCGCCGACTGGTCGATATGGGTCATGATCCATTTTTAGACGCCCGTTGTCTGGATGGTGCCGCGGAACCACGGCAGGAAGAACACCTCGCACTTGCAGTGGTCTTTCAGGTAGATGGCCAGATTGGTGATCACATTAATGTGATCTTTGTGATCTTCGGCATACAACAAGTATACCTTCTTCAAGGGATGAGCTGGAAGACATGGACGTGGATGAATAGCGAGTGAGTGAGTATGGTTTTACACCGCTTTTAGCATCATAGCGGGGACACCAGAAATGGGCTTCACACATTGTACCCATGTGGGGAAGCGAACGCTTTTGTCACAAGACTACCCAACCGCCTTTGGATTAATAGATTGGGAGATAAATATATGCCTGTTGATTTAACTCCCCCAAAATGAATTAAGAACAGTGTCTGCCGTTTAACCTGACTGATAGTATGTCAGCACATGTGATGCATGTGGTCTCACCTTAGGCAAGTGAGTTTGTTCAAATTGCCTCTGTTCACCCAGCAGAAAATGGGTACCCGGTGGGATAAAGTCATGTGACTATAACCTTCTAGCGCCTAAGAGGCAGCTTGGGTTATCCGGGGTAATAAGAATCAGATTCTGATAAAGCGCCGCGAGCAATCACTTGGTGTTTGGAGACATTGCGCTATAGAAGATGACTTATCATGTAAAAGTCATCGAGATATGTTTCCGCGCGTTTTCGTCTGTTTTGTAATGGTTTGAAGAGCATTAAAAGGGAATATACAATGTCAGGACAGGAATACGTTGCTTGTCGTAAGAGGTGACTAACGGTATCAAATAACTTGGTTGACACATGCCATCGTATCACATTTGTGTAGATGTTGTTGATCACTGAATTGACTAGTCCAGATGCGTTGATTTACAGACCGCCTCCATATAACTGGAATATTGTTGAGTGCGGCGTTAAACAACAGCCAAAAAAACAAAAACAAACAGGATACGGAGTGTTAGGCAACGTGGGACCCACCAACTCATTCATTCACTCAGTAACGTTTCAAGCATACCATGAGAGTAGTTTTGTTGAAGGAAATGGTTCTGGCCAGGCTTCTTGTTAACCACAAAATTGTTTCCGGCTGGAAATATACAAAATAAATAAATAGCAAACAAACAGTATTCTACTCGACTTCTATACCTGTACATGGAATGCCACGTGCCCTCTCCGTAAGACGTACAGCGCTTCTACAATAATGTGAACCAAAAAGGACTTAGAAATATTGTATTGCAGGGCAAGGAGGTCTCACAAAGTACTGAAAAGACACTTAGACTGTAAGAGAATCATATCTCAAAATATTCATTTAAGTAAAACGTCTACAATTAATGGATTAGATATTTGCCGAAACAACTTTCTCAATGATTTCTGGGAATACTATAATGTGGCAGTTGTATTAATTAACCTTTTATGGAATGACCCGTGAAGATCCGGGTGAGAATCTTCAGCGACCCATGCATGTCGGAAGAGATGACTAGCGGGATCGGGTGGTCAGACTAGCCGACTTGGTTGTCATCGTATCCCGCGTAGATCGATGTTCATGCTGTTGATCACTGGTCTAGACTCGATTATTTACAGACCGCTGCCATATAGATGGACCATTGCTGAGTGTGGCGCAACAAACAAACAAAACCACCGAGTATATCGTTTAGTCGGTCCGGGTCCATTGGACCCATTCTGCTATACATCTGCATACCTGAACGATGTTTTCTCCAGAGCAGGACCACCACCAGAGATACACACACAATGCCGACCAGACCTCCAGCAAGCGCTGCAACAACCGTGATCACATCCTCTGACGTCAGAAAATCTGCAGCTGCAGCTGAAACATTTGGTCCGGGATCATAATTCGAGAGGTTTCTGACAGGCCGAAACGAAGCAACTCTCACCACTGCAAATGGAGATGCAGCAGGCGACGTAGACAACCCAGTTATCTCCCTTTCTTGCTTGTAACTAATGTCTTTAATATTTAATGTTAACCAGGTGTTTCTCGATTTAAACCTTAGACAGGGAAGGACAACTGGCAGCGTTTCCCGCAATACCACCCAAAACACTTTAGAGTTATCTCCCTTTGCGCTGATTACATTTTCAGTAACAGTGAATTTCATTTCAAATGCTTTTAATAAAATATCTTATGGACGTTTTCGGGTTATTTTATACTGACCAGCAAAAGAAACGCAATTCAAGAACTCAAAACAATTGTGTTAAAGTATGAAATCCAAACTCCAAAAAGTATAATTTTCATGAATTCTGAGTTGCGTTTTTATTGCTGGTCGGTATATATACAAGGCCCCAATGTCATCTCTGATCCAGCCTACACCTTACTTGATGGAATCACAGAATGACCGTCTTGGGTGCCTGTTGTTGTGTCCCTTGTCCCCGTGGGCGCTGTTGGCGATGCTCCTGGATTGTAAAGATACGGTACTTTAGGACAGCTAGTAAAATTTACAATGCCATTATCATCAAATGTTATAGTCGCCTCTCTTCCCTAAACCTACATGGATCGTGTGATCATGGATCATGGATCATTCAAATCTGACAAGCATATTAGATTTCTTCATCTCCAAAATGAAATTGAACGAGTATTTCCGTATGCAAATGATTAAGACGCACGTTTTATTTTTATTAATGTTTAATACGCGGCGTAACTTCTGAACTGTGTTTTAACGTACTGTGATTAAAGAACGTGATTATATGTGCTTTAATCTTGTCTTGTAAATAGGTTGTTGGTTGTATATGTTGGAGGGATATACCTGTATCAAAGTAGAGGGTCATTCAATGTTGCTTTAAGCGGCAGCAAAAATTGACGGTATCGTAACTTTGATTGGCATTGTGACTAGTAGGCAGTAGGCACTAGGCAGTAGGCAGTATTCAGTAGGCAGTAGGAAGTCTCGAGTTCTATCGGATTAGTTTTTTGGTTTTCTTAACAAAATATTGTGCTTAACTTATTTTGAGCAGTATATATTGAATTAGTGGCCGGACTCTGGGTCTTGGCTGATAGCGCTACATCGTATCCGGATAGCTGGACACCTTGCTCGTGACTAGACAATTTCTCAAGTCAAGATCCGGGTTGGAATTTATCTTTACCAACCCATGCTTGTCGTAAGAGGCGACTAACGGGATCGGGTGGTCAGGCTTGCTGAGATAGTTGACACATGAATCCTATCCCAATAGTGTAGATTGTTGCTCATACTGTTGATCACTGCATTGTCTGGCCTACACTCGATTATCTACATACCGCCGCCATATAGCTGGGATATTGCTGAATGCGGCGTTAAACAACAAACAAACAAACAGGCAAAAACAAACAAATCGACATGGCAACTCTGTGGAGTAAAACACCATTCGTTTTCGCCCGATCAAACGTAACATGTTCTTTCCTGTTTGTCCTTGATATGGATATTTACAGGCCGCTCTGGCAACCCTGAAAAGCTGCCGAAAGCGGCTGAAAACTCAATTCACCCTGTAAAACACATTAGCAGCCTTCGATAGATCAGGCGTATCATGCTGTGGATTGTTTGTCCTTTACAGGCCGCTCTGGCAGGGTCCAAATGGTGCCAAAGCGGTCTAAACTACCATTCACTCGCTCACGTAAATAAATACCCATACTCAACCTTACCTGGCTCAGTCGTACGAGGCATTATTGTTGAGCTTTCGTCTTGTGACCCGCCTAAAAAGGAAGACAGCTTGATCAGTCAACAGCAATCCACTGTATTATACATTGGGAATAGGTAACTCATGTTGAACGCGACTCTGATTGACAGTTAAGTCATATAGTCACATGGACACCTTATGACAAATTCCTACTTGCTTGCTGAGTGAGTCAGTGAGTTTAGTCTTATGCCGTTTTTAGCAGAATTCCAGCAATATCGTGGCGGGGGGCACCAGAAATGGGCTTCAGACATTGTACCCATGAAGGGAATCAAACCCGTAGCGAACGCTTTAACCACTAGGCCACCCAGTCAATCCAAAGTCATCAACCTTGTTCATGTAATTCCTGGGGCGGTGGGGTAGCCTAGTGGTTAAAGCGTTGGCTCGTCACGCCGAAGACCCGGGTTCGAATCCCCACATGGGTACAATGTGTGAAGCCCATTTCTGGTGTCCCCCGCCGTGATGTTGCTGGAATATTGCTAACAGCGGCGTAAAACCATACTCAGTCAGTCAGTCAGTCAGTCAGTCAAGTAATTCTCCAATCAGAATCCATTATTCAATAAGACTCGTATATAACGGCAATGCACACAACTTGGTTATATGATATCTTTGCATATTCAGAATTTCCCTCATATCATTAATGTGATTATTATCTGTAATAATAATATGTTTGACCGATGCTGTATGAATTGTGATAATAGTATTACGATGATGCTGTTGGTTGGTTGTTGTTTAACGCCGCACTCAGCAATATTCCAGCTATATGGCTAGACAATCCAGTGATCAACGGCATGAGCATCGATCTAAGCAATTGGGACATGTGTCAGCCAAGTCAGCGAGCCTGACCACCCGATCCCGTTAGTCGCCTCTTACGACAAGCATGGGTTACTGAAGGTTCATTCTAACCCATATCTTCACAGGATACTCAATGGGAGTCCAATGTGGGGCACTGGGTGCCATATCTGCACTGAAACGCCCAGTGGTACGGGTTTATGGTGATGCTGAAGATGCAGTTTATATAATGCTTATTTATCTTAATATATGACATGAATGCCACATAGTGATAACAGGAGACGGTTACTGTGGAATTCAATGTCTGGCACAAACGGTACATTGAGGAGCTTCATGGGTTTCGTGTAGGAATACATTCTACCGGTCCAAGAAAGAATACACTTGGAATTGGACTTGGCCAAATGGGTACAAACAATTTGAAACCTAGCCTGACAATAGAAAACCAAAACACAACCACAAACCCAAACACAAACTAAACACATCCAATCGAATACGTATTTCTTGTTTTTTCTTTGTTACCCACAATCAAATATTTGTGTCTACTTTCATTTGCCCGGCAGATCACCAGCAACCCATGTTAGTGCTAAGAAACAATTTAGTTGAGATCAGGTTCAGATCATGCCATTGTATCCCATTGTTCGTCATGAAGTGAAACACTGCATTGTCTGGTCTGAACTCTTGATCTAATGTTTACCGACCGCCGTCAGATCGCTCGAATTGCGCAGCGTTGAAGAACAAAGATACCCTTAAAAGCAGAGTCAAAGCTTCCTACTTATTATACTTAACTCGTATATCATAGGCACGTACGAAATAATTCAAGTACATGCCGCATTACGTTTCTCACTAACTATCTAGAGAGAGATTTGGCACGTTAGTATTTAATGAGGACCTCTGAAACTTGTTTCTTCCAAATCTGTAGAATAAACCAAAATATTTCGATTTAATTTTCAACAAAATCAAACCATTCTTGGCTTGATAATTCACTTACAAAAACACAAGCAATGCACAAGTGAATACTCTCGTTGTTTAACCTATCTATATACAAACATATATTACGTAGACATTTTGGTTCAATGATTGAACATAACTTTGAACAGACAATGTCATTCAGCAAAACCAAACCCTTGAGAATCACTAGGCTACCCCACCGCCCCGTTAGTGCTAAGAAGCGATGTAGATCTGATCAGGTTCAGTTCATGTCATCGTATCCTATTTGCTTGTCATTAAGTCAATCACTGCATTGTCTTGTCTAAACTCGATTGTTTACAAAACGCCGTCACATTGCTCTATGTTGCTGCGTTTAACGACAAATAAAACATAAAGGCGGATTCAATAATAAGGGCGTTATCTTTTTTTTTCAAAATCACAGATTTTAGACGTATGAAATAATTCAGGAACATGCCACATGAATTTTCTTACTAACAGCTGGAATTTCAAATGTACATGTCAGCTAGTTAATCTCCAGTACAACAAGGCATTGGAGGGCAAAGTGAGGCATCATGGATTAAGAATGGTTCAGTAATGGTTCTCCGAATCCCTACACGTATCTGTGTGTGACACACCTCTATCATGATGGACATGACAAGGTCTGTGTCCGGTCAGCTGAGGACACTCACAAGACCACGATGACCCGACCCTGACCTGCATGCAATCTATAGTGAGAGTACAACACGTTCGTGGTGACATCTTGTTTCAAGGATGTTTTAGTCGGCAGAGTATTTTCTCGTTGAGTTGAGGTTCAGGTTTTGAAGAAGATTTCCTCATCAATGTTCCGAGGTCAGACAGAGATTTGGGTCGTAAATATAGACATTTTAAAGAATTTTTGAATTAAAACAATTAAACTCTTAATACCATGGACTTCTCCAATAGTATTTCTTTTGCATAAGATTGCATTCTTTTTTCTTTTACATGTGGGCGGTGGGGTAGCCTAATGGTTAAAGCGTTGGCTCGTCACGCCGAAGACCCGGGTTCGATTCCCCACATGGGCACAATGTGTTAAGCCCATTTCTGGTGTCCCCCGTCGTGATATTGCTTGAATATTGCTAAAAGCGACGTAATAACCCAACTCACTCACTCACTCTTTTACATGTATTTATTACTCACAAAACAAACAATGGCCAGGATGTGTCTGGAATGTATAAACACTTATTCACTAATAGGTACAAAAACATGCACAAAGCACATTTAATCTCTCTACACAGTGTCAACGTACAGTGATACTGGGCAGGCAAGTGAAGACGATTTACCGTATCAAACTTACTTTAAATGGTCAATATGAGTTCTTATACAGGAATGTAAACTGAAGATTTGTAATAGTTTAATTCTTTCATAGTGATAATATTTTACTTCCGCACATACATGGGAGTTAATTGCTTACTTCAAAGTAGTATTC